AAACCCAGCATATCTATGTAACCCAGTAAACTTAGCAAACTCCAGCAAAATCCAGCAAATCTGGCAAATTCATTCATCCAATCCAGTCAATCCAGCCAACAAACTTTTTACTCTAGTTAAATCCTTACCATTCAACTACCTGATTATCGGAAATGCTTGTATCTCAAATAAAAACTATCCTTTTAGACCAGTTTTCGATTATTTGAACTAAAAACTTTTCATGCACATGGAATAAGAAGCATAGATTGATTCAGACGTCCTTGTTTCCACACATACGCCCTTTGCTCTGCTAGTGAGGGCCACTGAAGTGGTCGCATGAAGTGGTCGCATGAATTGGTCGAGTGAAGAGGTCGAGTGATGTGGACGAGTGAAGAGGGTCTAGAAATTCTTACAATTCATTAAAATTATGTAAATTACTGTCTAACGACCTGTCATAAAGTGTACGATGCTGTATTGGCAGAGCTGTACACGCTATCTGGTGTATAGAACTGGACGGTTTTAAGTTGCTATTAGAACCGTCTTTAGTAACTTAGAACCGTCCTGTTCTATACACCAAATACCGCCCTACTATTGCCGTCGGAACGAATTTCATATTGGGGGGGGGGGGGCTGGATTGCTTCATGTTAGGGTACATTGCCATCTGCACTATTTATAAAACTATGTAACATTAAAATAAAAAGGAGCTCCTAATGTGTTTGAAAAGGATTCGCTTATGGTGAAAAGTAGAAGCAACCTTGCCAGTTCCAACCATACAGGATCACACTATATAATCTGGTACTGATCTGAATATAAAGAAGCACAGCATGATAAAGTTCAGCAACTTATTAGTTCGATTAAACGTTCCCTTCATTTAAAGGCAATCTGTCACGACGTTGATTGATTATAAGAACAAAGGGATTTTTTATTGTTTCCAGTCCCCCTTTAATTTATCGCATTGTAAAAAATTTAGCGGAGCGCTGGAATTGTGTTTAGGCTATTGTTTCAGCTATTATTCTCGTTAACCAATCCACAACGAGACAGATTGCCTTTAAATACCCCTTTGAATGAATGATCTCGAAATAAAGTTTGAATGCAAAGATACCCCTCTTTATTTTATACGTTTTACAAAATGCACTCTCTTTTTGAACAGAGGACTTTTCAGGAAATCAAAAGAACATTGAAAAAGATAACAATTTAGACATTTTCGGTAAAGATCTTTTCGAATGAAGATGCAAAAGACATTTCTTTTCAAATCCTCATTATAGAATTTACGTACAATTGCTTCCATAAGCCTAACAAATTTATGTTATTGGTATTGCCCTTTTCAAAAAATGTAAAAAAGGCCCCCCTTGGATGAATGCACTCATAGACGTAGGAACCAGGGGGCACAGGGGGGGGGCATGTGCCCCCTGCTTTTCAGAAATGTGGTAAAATACCTATTTGAATCTTGCAGAAGTGCCCCTATTTTGACTACAAGTGCCCCCCCCCCTTATAGCTGAAATGCTTCCTAGTCAATGAATGCACTAACAAATCATGACGAATTCAAGTAACACCCCTGGCGTTATTTCGAAGTAATTTTAGTAGCATCGCACGTGCAGCAGGGACATTGCGGTTGCACCCGTAACAAGCGTCAGGCTTGTAAGGTAAACCCGTGGTTTCTTATGCGAAGCGAGGAGATCACTCAATTCACAAAGCAGGTGGGAAAACGTGCTTGTAGCAAGTAAAACAGGTGAAAATGTATGAAGAAAAGGCGATTATTGAGCTGGCAACTGTGATCATTTCTTAACATAGAATCAATATTGAAATATAGGAGATACTAAATTAGAAAAACCGAGCTACACTCACTGGAGATCAAAAGATTAGAGGTGTTAGGTTTCAGTTTTAACATTTGCGCATGTACGGAGAATTAGACCTGTCTAAGTTTGATAGCTGGAAGCTGTAAAGGCTATTAAAAAATGTTTGAACGTCCATAACTGCGATCATAGAAGCTTTTAACATACAAACTAGTAGGGAATTTCCCCACCAAGCCCTTGAATTTCCCCACTAGTTGTCCCATATTTGCCACTAGAAAGTGCCCTTTTGCTAAAAATTTGCTTAAAAGAGCTCATGAAGCGCTGTTTTTGTTTTTTTGACTTTTGCGTTATACTTCCTAAGAACTTGCGACTACACCACTGGGAGTAGGGCCTGATGTGCAAGTGCAACACCTTGAAACCTTATATGCATACAGTAGCATAGCGAGAGGGGGCAAGGGGGCGTCCCTTTCTCCGACCACCTCTTGTCGGACTTCTCTTTGCCCCTCCAGCCTTCCAACCCTAGCTACGCCACTGTTGCCACTGATCTCTATTAAAGACTGGATTGAGCTTTTTATCGTTTGACCCACATGAGAACCGAGCCTCGCTAAATTTGATTAGGCTCTAGAACCGTGGGACCCACCGTTCACCGCGAAACACCGAAAGGTACCGACATGAGAGCTAAACGGGGTACACAATGTCAAAAAGTACTTTTTGAAATGACATTTCTATTTTGTGCCTCTATCTCTAATTGATCAACTTTTCAATAAAGCAGAACATACAGCGCATCGATCTTTGATAACATCGAACATTGGGAAATTTCTATAGTTACAATTCTGGTTTGTTTTCCAACCTAAATTTACATCCAATAACTTAACTTGGAAATTTGAACTTCTGATGACGTTATTGGAAATCTTATGTAGGCCCACACTCAACGATGGGTCCCACGCGGACAAGCAATATTGACGTAAGTCTGAAACGGCAGAAGCTCGATCCAGTCTTTTGTAGAGATCAGTGCACTATTGCATATTCGTCCCTTTGCTTCTGCTTTTTGTTGTCGTCAGTTGTGTCACGTTAAGACAAAATGTCCTTTTGTGTCAATCCCCCTCCAGTTGATTTTCATTTTCATTTTAAAATTATTTACTCAGGGTATAAATTCAGTCTAAATACTGTTTTGCAATTGACCCTGAAAAAACTGCTTACAAAATAAAAAAGTTATATACTATAAAATTTACTATAGAAAGAGCGGAATATGACTAAATTAAAAAAGTATAAATTTACAACAATACACCTCAATATATATATATATATAGAAAAAGGATTATTTTTTCCTTGAGTTTGGACCTGAAGGCATTAATTGAGGGAGCCATTTTTGTGTCCAATTTGAGACTGTTCCAGAAACTGACCCCACGATACGCAAAGGATTTCTAGCCATTGCCAGTTAAAATTCCTTAAAAATGCAATGCAATAAAAGTTGAATATACCGCATACAACCAAAACGTTTGCGTAATTGGAGTCACATTGGAACAAAGCGATTCACCAGGAAATAAAAGCGACTCGCACAAGTGAGTTGCACAATAAGAAAACACAGAACGGGGAAAGTAATTCAACACCAATGTTGGGAGGTCTTGTTCCAGCTCTTAGACGAAAGCAATGATGTTTCATCCTTTGAATTACTTTTTAATGGTAGAAATAATAAAAATTAATGCCAATAAAATTACCAAATAAAACTCTGTTGTCAAAAGATTGAACCCAATTTATAAGAAACTCGTTATTTACTGAGGCAATTCCTCAAACATGTTAAAAAACCTAAATAGCTCAAAGGATCACAAAAATCGAATTAAATTTAACACAGAAATTAAAAATTGACGTTGAAAGATTTTCGTGGAACCTCTTTTAGCCACACCGATAAAATGCTCATTTTTCACCCGTTCGTTCCAAGGTTTGTAGCGACACACTTTTGAGAATCTCTGTATCGAATATCAGAATTAATTGAAGTAACGACTAGTGTCCAGCAATTTCTACCTAGCAGCCGTTTCTAATATAAACCCCCTTAGATGCGCTTTGGCATACACGGAATAGCGTCTTCGCGCAGGAAACTACCAGTCTCCCCGCACCATAGGGGGGGGGGGGGGCAGGGGAGCCGCGGCCTTTCCACTTTCTCGCAAAATGAAAAAATAAGATCAGCTTAAATTTTTTTAGAGATAAACCAGTAGATTACAACAAATAAATTGTACCAGAACCCACAAGCAAAACAACTTCAGCAAAATATTTACCACAATTGGGGCCAGGGTGAGTAAGAAGAAACTTCCATTAGATTGCTGCCCCCCCCCAGTGGCACGGTCAGTGGCACGGGCCCCGATTGGAGTTACACCATGTCCTTTTCCATGCACAATCGAAGGAATTATGGTCATTTCTCATCCAAACACCAACACATTAAATAGATGGCTTTAATATTTAGAAAATTCTTGATCAAAGCATGGGCGCCTCCTTTCTCTTGTGTATTTTTGCTATTGTAAGAGAGGGCCCAGGCCTGGTTTTTTTGAAGTCAGTGCAAATAAAGTCAGTGCAAACAATCTGGTAGAAATAGAGAAACTAAAAAATCGCGTGGCCAGAATAGCAATCAATAGCCCGTACAACGCTTCTGCTCTTCCAATTATAAGGAAACTGAGCTGGCAAACAGTAAATGACTTGATAGTAGAAGAAACTTTGAAAATGGTTTACAAGTGTACAAATAATGAGGATCCTTCGTATCTTGCGCGCCTGTTCGACAGGTGATTTCGAACCAGTACCCGGGAACTCGTAAACTCCGAAACCGATCTCCGTGTCCCGTTTCTACGAACAACATGTGGCTAAAAATGCTTTTCTTTAAAAGGGGCGAAATTATGAACTGGCCTGGACCGCAAAATCAAAATTAACAAAAATTTCAAACAATTTAAATCTTGTCTCGAAAACTCCATAACTTTAAGGAACCCTTTTCATTTCTGGTGTTAGTTCCAGTATTTCTAAATGCTTTTACCTATAAATGATATTTTCTAAATTACTCCTTTATCTTTCAATTTTTTTCACAAAAAGATGCTGGTGCAATGAAAAACGAACTATGAAAGACAGATATCAATGAACCTGATATCAATGTTCCGTTGTATGCCATCTTGATGGAGTACTGGGGCAAAGTAAAATGACTATCCCTGGTTACAGATTCTGCCCATCAAAATGAAAAAGGAAAATTACCTTATTATCCCAAGCATCTTCTTCATCTAGCAACACAACCCCAGAATCTGCCATTTCGAAGGAACATGACCCTGCGATAGAGCCTGTCTCTTCTACAGAACCAGCTGCTCCGAAGGAGCATAGAGCTTTGTTGGGGCCTGTCATTAGACCTGGGCTTATCGCTGTTGTGAAATTGGCTCCATTTTCAGCATCTTCTCCTTTATCAGAAGGTTCAGATGACATAAGGGACTTGGTCTCCTCGTGATAGTCTATAGCCTCTTTTTCGTTATCCGTACATGAATCCTCGGTCTCTCTTTCAATTTCAAGTTGCGAGTCACGAAAAATTCTGCTCTTGCTAGCTTTAGAGCCATTACCAAACTTTTCCATTCGTGGTTGACAGACAGCACAGTTCACAAGAAAGTGCGTTACGACCTCTCGAGGTAAGAATGAAAATATACCCGATATCTATAAAGAAAAAAAAATAACATTATGAGGGAAGTGGGATATCGCAATATTTCAAAAAAGGATAAAGTTAAGCTAGCCAGCAGAAACAGATCTTCGATTAAAACGAGGCTACCCACAGGAGAACATTCGAGTCTGCGCCAATGGTCTGCGTGCAAGCTAAAGAAAAGTATGGCCACTGAGCTTTAAAATCCGCGGAGGGGGGCAGGCGGCTTAGATTGAATTGAAAAAAAGAAGGATGTTGATCAACTTCCATAAAATTTTGCAACTTGTCCACGGAAGAATGTTATATTTAGGCCACAGATTTTAGATCGCTGTACAAACTGGAGATGGGTGGTGTTTGAAAATCAACAAGAATCATTGGGGCTGTATCTAAACTTCTTGTATCTAAACATTTATTTCAGAAAAAATGTAGCACTGGAATCTTCAGTGATTTAAATGTAATCGATGATTTTCAGGCACGCCCTCTTGTAAGCACTGATTTTCAACTAATTTATTGTCTGATAATCCCGTATGTTATTACGAGAATCGGGACAATTTCTAATGTATGTTATAGTACTACCTCTGCAGAGCGAGAGCTCCCTGTCAGTTTTTAAATGCACTAAGAATAATTTTATTCACTGTAGAAAGAGGAAATTACTCTTTTGTGGCTTGTATGATACTTAACTATTAACATTCTCTGAGGGGGGGGGGGTCGGAAGGGATCGGCAGTAGTAGTGTTCAGGAAGTGAAATAAAAAATAGAAAGCATGGCACAAATATTTGGGTGTTCCGAGAAATTTTGGCAGGCATTGTTCGTTTGATAAGAGACAACTAAGCAATTAAACTGAATAAGAGTTTACAAAATAGTGAATTGGGTGAAAAGAGCAAGAAACAGAGGCAAATACCCACCCAGAAATTGTAGCATTTTTACAAATACGGAGAGAAAACAGACCGAAGACAAAATGGGAGAGATTAGATAGAAAAGAGAGAGAGGTGTAGGATTCATTTCTCTTCGTTTTCCCCCGCGATTACATTTCTGCCTCGCAGAAGGCATTCGACAATAACCATACATTATCTTCATTCTCCATCGCAATTCCTTTCCCCCTTTCTTTATCTTTTGTCACTGAGGCTGTGGCACCCAGAGAACAATAAGTTTTGGGATAGCCTATAGAAACAAATAATGTGTTATCGGGTACAAGACGAAGAAACACAGTTGACGACCGACAACCGGATGACTATCACTCCAAGAAGCCACTGTTTTACTGATGATTTTGGCAATGACACATCTTCTTAGATTTGTGGCAACTGGATGTTTGAGAGTGAGCAAATAAAGAAATGTTTCAGATTCTTTTTGTATCGAACAATTAGAAAATTCGATAATTTTTAGAAGTGGAACCATATACTTTTCATGGCATTGTCAGTTTTGTTCAATTTGTTTCAGCGCACTATAGATTGAGTAATGAACCACAAAACATTTTGCCTTTCACTTTGCCCAAGAAACCTTGTCACTGCGCCTTAAAAACCCCGTTCTCCCAAAACTCTGCCCTAATTTATATTTTTTTTACCTCCTCTTAGCTCTCCTCATACACAGTGATGATTTAGCTCTCCTCATACACAGGCACGCCGGAGCCGGGTAGCCTGTGTCCCAGATTTTATCCTAGCCCTTTAAGTTGGGGGTCTGGAAAACAGGCTAGAGCCGGGGGGCTGCGGGGCTGGATGATATAACCACTCACTTTTTTGCTGAAGTATGATATTAATGCTGTAGCATCAAGGATAATGACGGAAAACTACCATAAAAGTTTGTCAATTTTTCTAGAGGTCCCCAACCCAAAATGTGTTCCAGCATCCTTGAAAAATTCATCAGTTCACTTAAAGCGTTACTCACAATTTTGTAAGTCTGTTTCTGACCAAGATGCTGTTTGTATCTTGTGACGTGAACCAGTTTGATGATGTCATAAAAATCCTCCACAACGGCCACTTTGGTGGAATCAAAAAGCTTCTTTGAGAAGCACAGGAGATCCTGTAGCCTGGATTCGTGTTTCTTTGACCTCTTCGAGCGTTTTCCAGTCTGAAGAACAAAAATTGAAGCTGAACCATTTATTTTCATTAAGTTACAACCTCCAATTCAAACAAATAACAGAGGCCAAAAATGACACAATTACCCAAGGCTTAACATATTTAACAATATAACATCTGACATAAAATCGACAAAATCAGCAACACTTTAAAATATAAGAACAAAAAAAGTTCCTTCCAAAATACATCGAGAGCAGTCAATTACATTTGTCTACTACTAAATAGAAGCTATGTTTCAGACTCCTAACTTGACAAATGACACCTTATTCACTCTCATACTCATGATCCGACCTTTCTGAAAAGTCCAGAAGAAAAATTCATTAGATATATTCCTCAAAATGAAATAAACAAGGGCGAAGCCAAAAAACGTTTTTGTACAGAAATGGTTTTGCCTAGAAAAGGGCGTGTCTCTCTCTTCAAGGGTGTGTCATAAGATGATTAATCTCAAATGCTGCTTTTATGCGTTTCTATTTCAAAATTCTTACTTAAGTGCCGTACTTTGAAAGTTACACTGCTGCAGAAATGTTATTACGTTAATACGGTACAGCACAAACTATATTTTAGTGCATCAAAATTCCTTGCTTTTCGTTGACTGGATCGATGACTGTTTTTCGTTAATCAATGTAGTCTTTATAAGTTGAAAAAAGTTAGTGAAATATGTTTCTCGAAATTTGAACGAAAATCAGTTACGACAATACTGTTATGAAGAAAGCTTTTCAAGCCAGTTGCGGACCCAGACTACCGCCATTACCGCTCGAGCGGTAGTCAGATTATTCAAAAAATTATAAAAACAAGATTCATTTTCATGTTTATCCTACTACTTTAAATAAACCATAGTTAAAAATTGAAAATATTTGATCGCGCTGCAAACCAAGCATTCCTTCCTAGAAACTTGCCTGAAATTTCCACAGAGACAGAAATACTTTTTAATCCTTATTGCTATGGAAATTGCGTGCCAATTGGCCGAGTCACATGCTTGCAAATAAAAGGCTAGCATATGGGTGGATGATGAAATAATGGCTTGCTAGCTAGAGGGGGGGTTGGGGGGGGGTTGAGTCGGTGTATAGCGGATTCGAGCTGAACTGAGCGGTAGTCAGCCTGTCTAGACCAATCAAATCATCAGAAATCGCAGCCAACCTTGGGGGGACGCATACAAATTTTGTTGACAACCAATGAGCAACCGAGTTGATTACCGCTCAGATGTACCACCGCTCAACACGGCTGAAACGTTACAGAAAAATTAGGGGATGCCTACATATTCTGCAAGTGGGCAAACTGTAACTTCAAAGCCGATGTGACCAATTATTTTGTACAATACATAAATATTAGTAGGAAGATATTTTATAAGAATTTTAAGACTCAAATATTCTAAATTTCAAGAAGGCACCAGGACTAAAAGTCAGACCCACAAAGTTCGCCAAAAGTATTTCTTTGTTTAACAAAAGTTGCTCTCAATAATTGCAAATTTTATCTGGCTTTTTAAACTTATAATTTCCAACAGGTCTTATGTTCATAAGTAACTGCGAGTTTTAGGCGACATTTTAAAATTCTTCCAAATGTATTTTTTTCTTGTTCTATGGTGTTCCTCGGCTAAATGCCGTAAATATTTTTTGAATATCCATCCTCAGAATAATAGCAACAACAATTTGTTGATTCTCGAGGTTATTGCAAGGATATTTAAAGTTTCACAAAAGCACCGCTTGTGTCTTGAAAATGGTCTACATAAGAAATACAGTAAATAAAAATCATTTTAGAAAACAGGGTGTAACCAGGAAATGTGTGTGGTCTAAAGGGTGTGGTCGATCCTCTATCTCATTTCGGCGGTAGTCAGATTTTTGGCTGGATCCACCACTGCAAGCAACCTCTTCTTACGATCATTTTGACCAATCACAAACTCCAATTGCTAAAATCGAGTTTCAAAAAAACTTCAAGAAGAAAAGTTTTAATAGCTTCTTCGCTGGGAAAAATAGAATTTAGTAAGGGATGTTTTGATTGGTTCCAAAAAGCCGGACTCGATTCACTGGAATCAAATTTCACAAATTCTAAAAATTTATTTTTATGACGTCATCACTTTGGTACTCTATTGGCGTCCTGTAAAAGAGGTTTTGGGATATGTGATAGTAGTTGTTTACAATTGAAAAATATGAGACAGAGCGCCTGTAAATAACGAGACAGACTTAATTGCACTATGTAGAAATAACAATAAAACCTTATCGAAGTGGAGAAAGAGTCACGATCGGAAAAGATTGTGAAGTTGAATCACGAAATCATGACACGAATCGCTGCAAACATTTTCTATACGAAGGCAGAGACGATAACTAACTGACTGTACAACTTTTTCAGGATAAAAGATTAAGGAGTCTGTCATGGCTCTTCCATTGTGAAGTACGGTTAAAGTGGGGGGAGGGGGAGGCTTAGCCCACCACTTCATTATTTGTGCTTGGATATAGCCAAGAATCGTGTAACGCAAAGAAAGCTGTGAAGAACGGTGCTTCACCACAGGTCAGCCATTGACGACTAAACCAGAAAAAGAAACGAGATACAACTGATACATCTAGACGCATTGCAGGCTTTATGTGCATGAAAACGTACACAATGATTGACTATGTTAATAGATAGAAAATTATTGAAAGATTTCTTACTGAGTACGTTTAGTTGAATTTTTGTAAATAGACGGTTGGTTTTTCTTGTTGCATTGCATTTAGAAATCTTTTTCATAAGAAAAACATAATTTTTGCCGACGCTCGATCTTCTTATTTTCTAAATCATTTCAGGTTCAGGTGCTCTTAATGTTGTTTTTGTTTCAAAAGTGATTTTTTTATATCTGCAAACTATGATAACTTTTTAAGTCCACTGATTAACAATTTTGCATGCCATTTTAATTGACACGTTTCATTAGCTGATAAAATCTGCTCCATAATGTTATCACGAGAGAAAATGAGTCAATATAGAATCCAATTTCTCTGCTGCCCCTCAACCAGCCAGTGTACCTGGCTGCTCAACCAATGATCTGAAAAGACATCTACCCTCGTCATGTTCAAGTTGCAATGATTACATGACAAGAACAACTTAGACATTTGATAGAGCCCTCCTTGTTAAACTTTTACGACTACATCCCTGCTGTGCAGGATGCATCTTCCAGGCAATTGGCAATAATCAGGAACTGGAACGTGTCTGTTTTCAGTAAGAGCACATTGGACAAGCAGAAATATATCGAAAATTAGGGAGTCAAAGCTGTGTTGCGATTGTGCTTTCCCTGTTTGTAGGATTATGACCAGGCACCGCAGAGCGTTGAGAAAAGTGGGGGGTCTAAAAAAAGTGGGGGGGGGGTGGGGCTAAAACCGTATAAAAAGAGGCTTTTCTGGTAGTTTGATACTAAATATTTGGCATTTTTGCAAAAAAGGGGGGGCTAAAGCTCCCCAGCCCCCCTGCTCCGCGGTGCCTAACGACACAGTTTACTCTAAACTTCCAATAACCGGCAAGACAATAATTGCTACAGGCAAAGCCGTCGAGGGGGCAAGGTGGGCAAATTGCCCCAGGGACTCGAGGTCTAGGGGGCCTTATAGTATGATGAATTCCGCCTTAACATGGGACCTCAAAAACCTCTCTGCGGCCCTCGCTACATACAAGGCATAAGTTTTGATAGAATACACTCTTTACTTTTTATAAGAACATTTTTATAAGAACACGAGCCTTGAAACTGGTCAAAAGTTAAGAACAAATTAAGAACAAGCTGAGGCTGAGCTTCTGCAAAATGCAATTTTGAACAACGTTTTTCTCAAAATCGAGGATTTTTAGCGATTTGTGGGTGCTTTTTAGGTGAATATTCAAATTTGTCAGCAAATTAAGGCTGTCTCACTCACTTTGTTGGCAAATGAGGCCTGAACACCTCCTTAGAGGGAAAAAGCTGGCAATCGCACTGGTTACACCCTCTTAATTTAAGAACAAATTAAGAACAATTCAGCCTCAGATTTTCGAACAAATTAAGAACAGTCAGCCTGAACTTAAATTTACTGGTTCTTATAAAAAAGAGTGTATCGCTGTCTAAATTCTACTAGCATTATTGGTAGAAACGAGCAGAGCCCGTTGTCAATGGGCTATGTTTACTATATCGTATATTGCCACCTTACATTGTACGACACGCAAACTAGTATACCGTAAAAGCTCTATTAAGCCCCCTCTCTCTATTAAGCCCCCCTTTCTATTAAGCCCCCTCTTATCAAGCAATAACTTAAAATAAGCCCCCACTCTCTATTAAGCCTTTGTTTGTCAAACAAGGAAAACATGCACATTTAGTGGGTCTCTTGACGGGTTTGATGATAATAAGATCGTGTGCATTATATACGGCCCATGTAAAGACTTACTTATGCGCCTAAGAAGTCAATTGAAATTTGTTTAGAAGATGTCGCAGGGTTATCAATCGATCCTGGTAATTCTGATGAAGATGTGGACCTTATAATTAATTAGACTTTCGAAGCTGCTAGCGAAGTTTTCTGACAAAATTTGTATGGCATTTTTATAACAAACAGATAGATACGGGCATTTTTAAAACATTTTTTCCTTCAAATTTTTAATAGAGCTTTTACGGTGTTCAAGTTCAGGAAACATTGTAAGCCAACGTTACTTTATCGAAAGCCAAATTAACTTGATGCGTTTTATAGTTGTGTTTATTCTGTACCGTAAACTGATTTAAAATACGAAGAAAAAGCGGAAGCAGCTTATACGTAAGCGCTTTGCTCCCAATTCTTCCCAGAATACATAAACATGAAATTAAAAAGGTAAATAAAAAATCGTAGCACGAAAATGATGAACTCACGTAAGACTTTTGGCTATCTTTGATTAACAACTGATAACCTTTGTAGGTGTGGCCGAAACTCGCCCCATCTGCTGCCATTTGCAGGTTGAATTTCTTAGACTTGACCCAGTAACGAAACTTGGCATTCGTGTTGCTGCTGTCTCCCAACAAATAACGGCATATTCTGTCGTACTTTTGAACGGTGATCGTTTTCGTCCTGTTATTCCCAAGAAATGTAGCCGAAAGCCATTGCTGAAAGCATACTGGGTCTGGATCGTTGCCTGAGAAGTCAACATCCATACCATGTGCGATGCAGAAACCAGTATTACGGCGATTGTGATAAATGCTTTAGCTGTGAACACGTTAAAGGCGGAGAAAGAAATTCGTGAAAACCTTAGCAAGCAACATGAAACCTGTCTGCTATATTTTGTTCTGACTGCATCGCGAGAGGCACGGAATGCAATTTGTGGACCCTTTGGTTGACATGAAAATTTGTAAAACGGGGGAAAGTTCTCGGTGGTTAGCGACCCTCTTAACGATTGACACCCATTGAGACAGCCATATCTTCGCATAAATACATCGAATTGACTACTATGGTAAACAACTCATTGGTTAAAGGGAGTTTTGGAGCTTTGTGAACCAGTTGTGCCAAGGGAATACAGCATCGCAAAGACTAGGGACAAAAGTAGAGGATTGGCAAGAAAACCTATTGTCGAGGAAAAATTAGACAAAACCGTAACTACATTTGCCAATAACCGAATGACAAGTGCTTGAAGATTAATAGCTACACTATAAGAAAAGGTTATACACTCTCTTTTTATAAGAACCAGTGAATTTAAGTTCTTAATTTTTCCGAAAATCTGAGGCTGGATTGCTCTTAATTTGTTCTCAGTCTATTAGGGTGTAAGCAGTGCGAGTGCTAGCTTTTTCGCTCTAGGGTGGTGTTCAGGCCTCATTTGCCAACAAAGTGAGTGAGACAGCGTTAATTTGCTGAAAAATTTTATTATTCACCGAAAAAGCACCCACACATTGTTAAAAATGCTTGATTTTGAGAAAAAACATTGTTCAAAATTGCATTTTGCAGAAGCTCAGCTTCAGCTGGTTCTAAATTGGTTTTTAACTTTTGACTAATTTTGAGGCTCGTGTTCTTATAAAAAATTTTCTTATAAATAAAGAGTGTATTCCGCTTCGCGGCAGAAAGAAAACATTTCCATGTTATCCTTAAAAGCACCATAGGCAGAAAGTACAAAGAAAGTGCACAATTTGCATTCACGGCGATGCTTGTTTTTTACAAGTTGCAAACTCAATTGAATCGTGAATCACGGCTACTTTTTTGAGAAAGAAAAATGAATCTCTATTCTATTGTAAATATGTTCTTTTAGAGACAAACGGGTTCACTACAAGTGTGCCATAAAGAAACAGAAATTTTATCACTGGCAGTGTTATACCCCCGGTGCCGCATCAGACGGGTTTGCAACGGCAGCTCACACAGGACCTTTCGTGTCAGAAAATGGGCTCTGAACGACCCACATAAAGATATCCTATCGAGCGTAAACACAACGAGGGCAAAGCACAATGGAAGGGAAAATGTTTCTTTGACCACCGTAAGATAATTATAAATTACGACGAAGGGTAACCACAAAACGAATTGAAGCATTCCGTGTAAGGATTCAGTAACAAACCTGCCTATAGACATGGCAGGATGACAAAAGGGCTTGGCAATCGCCCAAATTATCTAATACCCTTTAATAAGAGGGACTACATTTGACTATCTAGAAATGAGTTCATTATTGGCTTTCAAACTAGTCTCCGAAAAGGAAAGTTGCTTTTACTAGTTCTAAAATAGGGCAGCAGTAGCATACCTATTGGCAGTGCATAGTCGGCAACACAATGTCTGATTAAATCTTTTCTGTTTGTAAAAATATACGGGATGCTTTAGGTTTCACTATGGTTTCACAACAAAGAGAATTTCGAGTCTCGTATCAACAAAGAAGGATTAACTCTAAGAACTAATGCCTACTCCCATATCATTGCAGGGTAGACCAACTGACGTGGAAATAACAATAATACCTTTTTTTACTGTCAGTTTGACAATAGTGTGAACACTGATAAATACTACATGAAGCAATTTAAGAGATTGTATTATAGGAGTTCTTGACTGCAAGGGTTACAGGCGCATTGATTTTAAAGTACCAATCTTTCATAAGAACTTCGAATTGACTTGCATTTTTGGAAGAATTTATTTCATTTGGAAGAGAATTCCAAATCTTTGGATCCATAAAGCTAATAGATTTTGTACCATAACTTGTAGTTTTAACTTTTGGAACAGATAGAGTATCCATTTTTTGACGACGATTATAGCTATTGGGTTTTTGGAGAAAGTAGTATTTCATAAAGGCTGGATTCAAGTTGTGCAGAGTTTTGTAAACTTCCAGTGCTAGCAGCCGAATAGAGTGAATAAGGGTTGTAGTAGATTTAGCCTTAACTAGAAGTTTAGAATACGTGCTTTGCACAAAGTTTTGTCAAGTTTGGGTTTTGTCAAGGCCTATAGGGGTCCGGAGCTTTTCTCCAGTTAATCTCGCATAACTATTCACACCAGCGTCATTTAACTATTACATGATCGTCTAGAAAGTCTATACAAGAAAAAAAGGATTATTATCTTCATATAATCTGGAAAAGATAAATTAGTATGTTTTGAGGAGTCTTGCTTTTTGTTCAGCTTTATTACCAGCGGAGTTTATGACAAGAATATACAAACAGCTCATGTTCAGCTAATTTACAAAAAGAAACATTTATTATGTTCTGTTAGGCTTACGCATTTATCTTTGAATTAGGAAATCAGTTTTAACCTGGTGCAAATTTCAAAGAATATGAAATTATATTTTAGATTTAAACCTATCGTCATGATAACTTTTAGCATATTGATGATGCTAAAAGTCATCATCATCATCATCATCATCATCATCATCATCATTATCATCCCCCCCGTCATGCCACTGCTGGCAGATTGCCTCCACAAATGACTCCACTTATGATAATCTTGGGCCTCTTGCATCTACCTCTTTCCTAGTTTCTCTTCGATGTCGATGATGTCGATATAAAGTTTTCTGTGAAATAACTATAACTGTCTTATAAAAAATGAATTCTTACTACCTAAAGTAAAAGCGAGATTCCAAATGAGGTGGGAAAGCCAGACACTTCCTGCAAATGTAAAAAAATACCTTTCCTGTATGAGTTTATAAAGAAAATCAGCAATTGGATTCCGGTTGATTTTTATCGCCATTGTGCCCATCATAGAGAGACTTTTTAGTTCTCAAGTTAGTTTTAACAATACAATTGTGACGTTATTAGCCTCGTATTTATGCTATGTTGGGCATGCGCCCAGTTTGTTATGTTATGTTATGCGTGAGAATACAAAATGGAGTATTGAAGTTCGAGTTGGGGTGTTCTTTCGTTGTTATATACCGGATAATCTTACAACAATGAGTCCTGATTTCTAGTTCATACTTGCCATAGCTAGTTTGCTTTTATAAGCAACTCGTTGATTTGTTTATATTATATCTAGCTACCTTGTCTATATCCATTATTTCCACATGCAAATAAAGTGGTAATAATAACAAAACACGTCTCCTTGCTTGATTTACGCTGACAAACCACGTACTCAACCACCAAACCACTAACAGAATTTTATCAAACTGAAATGGCTGCTTCATGCCAAATTCCCTTAGAATCTGTCATAGTTCTGGATCAAAGCAAGATAACGAATACAAGTTGAATACAAACATATCTGCTGAAAAACAGAAACAAATCTGATTCATTCGCTTCTCAAAATCTAGCACTAAAAATCAAGTTTCAAAAATTTGATCAACATTATTCAATGCGCCCTCTGGGTCATCCTTGTAAAGTAGAAAATGTCCTTGAAGTTGCGCCATACTATAGTTGCGACTACTTTTTACGATAGTTTCGCTAAATTGTCTCGCTTTCAGCGCGTTTGCTTCAGGGTAGAATCGTTCGTAAGTACGGCAAATTTGCGACGGCGAAGCGTAGTCGATCTTCATTTTCACGTCAACACGACCAGGGCGAACCAATGCTTTATCTAATCGATCTAAGAAGTTTGTTGTCATAAAAACTATTCGCTCTTCTGTCGAAACTACGCCATCTAGACAGTTCAGTAGGCCGCTGAACGTTACCTAAAAGGAAATAAAAAGTTTGTGTGGAGCTTATTCCAATCCTAATCAAATGAACGATATGACGAAGTACACAATTGAAGTACCTATATGCTATTACGGTAAAGTTCATTTAAATTTTAATTTTTTGCCATATTCTTAATATATAAAATATCTGCAAAATATGGGTAAGTCTACAAAACAACGTTAAAGAGAGACTTTATGAGATTAGCGTTTTTGATCAGGTGAATGGCTTTTGACTAGATTTTGTTTAAAAAGAGACAACAATGACTTAGAAGCCCCACACTACGAATAAGAGCATCATTTCAAAAAAAGGAACTTGTGGTTTGTGAATAGCAAAAATTTGCGGGTCTCACTAAAATGAATAAAAGACAACAATAACGAACAAATCATTTTTCCCAAAACGTTTTTTCTAGCAGCTAAAGGCTGTACAAGAAACCTCCACAGGCTGTACTAGTGGCGTACCCAGGGCTGCAGAAGTGGGGGGGGGGGGGTCTGTGGCGCAGCCCCCATAATTTTTTGACCACGCCCTTCAAACACTCGCAAATTCAGGGAAACGCCCTTTTTGTAAAAATTTTCCATATTATTTGATTAATGTTAGATAGATAGCAAAGCATTTCACAATTGTTATTGACACAAGCATACAGTATACTACCCCCCCCCCAATGAGTTTTACATCGTTTTTGGACAAATCTCGAGGACCATATTTTAGAAAAGTGGGGGGGTCGGCCCGATTCCCCTCCTTGGGTACGCCACTGGGCTGTACAACAAGCATCTCTCTAGAACAGTCTGATACATCACTGTGAATGCAACCTGAATTCATGGTATAGCTGATGGTAAGGTAAAAATACAGATTGGAAAACATATACTATAGTATGGCCTCAACTGATATGTACATGAATTTTCATTTTTGACACAGGATCAATATATCATCTTAATTATTTTAAAACACATCTAAATGATACCTGATTGATTGAGGCTATATTATTTTCATAAGTAAAAAGTAAAAGCTCACTTGGTTTGCATAATAGCCAGTAGTCTCCATTCTCTTTGACTCCTCTTCTCTTTTGCTAAATGCTGCATCTATATCTTCCAATAATATAATGCTTTGTTGAGGGGCCACACTCAATAAGTGATTGAGTCTGTCATCACTAAGACCTCGCTCTCCAAGGTTCATTACACAGATACTATATTGAAGTTCACCAGCAAGTGCTTGACTAGCAGGGACAAAAAGACAAATTTCAAAAAGTACCTGTAGAGCAAACCTTTAGAATCCTAAAAGTTAGAAAAATTCTAAAAAAGGATTCCATGATTGGAACATTTCTGGAAATTAGTTGCATCAAGTGAATTAACATACACAGCCAAGGAGAGCAATTCAGCTGCCAGTTTTAAAAAATAGCAGCTATCTTTCTTTGCACTTGGAAATCTTGTAACTGGATTCATATGAAAGTTATGCAAAAATTGATAATTGTGTTAATGATACCTTGGTATAATTTACCATTTCTGAGCAACATTGAAATGGTTATATTTTCCAAAAACTGGCCATTTTTATTAGAAATTGAACTCAAGCAAAAAATCTATAAATGGCTTAATAAAAAAAATTCTAAATAGAACACTCTTCAATTTAATGCTATTTTATTGTGACCACCACATCATGGAGAAACCAATACTTATGACAGTAATAAAACATTTAAAAGTGCTACTTACATAAAACTACTTTTACCACATCCTGGTGGCCCATAAAGTAAATAGCCTCTCCTATAAGGAATTCCTAAAATGAAATAAATGTTCATTTTTTACAACATAAACAATGCTAAAATGTGAGAATACTTGCAGGACAATTTGTTCAATGGTAGAGGTAAAAAATTATGCATAGCCTTTACAATTCAATTTTTTTGTGTTTAATGAGTCGCCAAGTAGAATCTTCTAGGCCCATGAAAATAGCCTACTGTGGCAAAGTCCCAATTTGATTTGATTTGATTTTGAATTAATTTAAATCATACTACATTTCTACAAAAAAGCTAGTTAATTATATAAATTATAAACAAATCAACTAAGTGAAGCAGCATTTTTAAGGAGGAGCCTGCCAATTACACATGAGTTGAATATTTTCAAAGTCTGGTACAATTTTAAAACCAATTAACAGTATGAAGCTTGAGTATTTAGTATAGAGCAAAAATATCATCATGTGTACAATACTAATCAAATGCCTGTTTAGCAGCTAAAATAGTAACTCTTGTTTCTTAATGCAAAAGTTTCAACATTTCCCCAGTTGTTAGATATTTCATTCTGGTGGTCAAAGTGTAAAAGGCCAAAGCCATCATCTCTTTGGCAAATGCATGTTTGGCTACAGCGTATTAAACTTTCCACCCTTATGCCTACAAAGGCGGTCCCAGAGTTCTCCAACATAGTGCTGCACCTAATTTTTTTACAGATATGTGTTTCCTCTCGAAAGTGCTTTTCAATGGAGCCATAGAGATGATAATTGTCCGACTTACATCTTATAAAATCTGACAGGCTTGGTCATTTGTGGAGAGCCATAGCTCTTGCTCCCCAAAAGTCTTTCCTCAAATGCCTGAAGGGAGCTACAGATTGATCCCCTAAACTGCTCTAATAAGCAGATTGCTCTCCTTAAAATCAATTTTTCTTATTTCAATAAATTGAAACCTTACTAAAACATGATGGAAATGTAATAGCAAAGGCCTTCACCTCAGCAAGGCTTGCTCTTGTCAAAGGTAGTCTTGTTTGGAACAACAGAACCCGTTCCACAGAAAATTGGGATGCAAAAAGGGGGGGGGGTAAATTGAGGGGTTTTGGTTAGGCTATCTTAGTTCCTTATTTTATCAGGCCAGGCCAGGCCAGGCCAGGCCAGGCCAGGCCAGGCCAGGCCAAGCCTGCAAGGTAAAGAAAAGTCTTGTATTACTAGTTGCTCAGCTTATAAAGTTGTCAGTTCTGCAAAACCGTAAAGGCTTGACAAACTGTAAAGGTTTGACATTGCTATAAAATTTGAGCACTTTTCCTTTGCCTCTAACAAACGCTTTGTCCAGTTTGCTTTTTGCAAAGCCATTTTCAAATTCTGTACTGCCAGGAAACTGTTCACATTTTTCTTACAGAATTATATATAAAACAGCTGTACAATGCCTGAGGCTAAGAAATGCCTTTAGATACTGTTGGATCCTTTGGGCCAGGAAAGGGTTGAGTACCCATCAGTAGCAAGTATCACAACAGAGACCCCTGATACTCATTCTTCAATTATAATCTACAACTATGACAATGTCTGTTAGAGTTATGGACATAGGCAACATGCCATTCACATAAAAGGCAAGATGCCATTCACATAAGGTGCCATTATTTATGGCAGAGTCCTCTTGACACTCATTTTCTTCACAGAGAATGAAAAAGCCTTTTAAATTACACCTTAGGTGCGAGGATGGCTCAGTTGTTAAAGGCGCTGACTACAGACCCAAGGGTCCGTGGTTCGAGTCCCTGGCATGACCAAACTTTCACCCAGAGTGGGGAGAGTCGCCAGCTCTCTGTAATTCCAGGCGTAGGAATCACGAGGTGTGGTCACATCGAGAGGAAGGACCAGGACACTGCTCGATAAGCATAGCTTCTCAGTGTCCTAAAAACTACCTTCGGATGCTAGGTAGCAACAAATACAAATACAATACTGACAAGTTGGCAAGAACAATATTTTTGTAACTCATAAAATCCCAGTGCATTATGGCCTCAAGTCTCTACGCTATTTTGGTGGCTATATTTAAGTATCTACATTTAAGCATCACATTGACATTCCCATTGGTATAAAAAATTCACCATCTGCTTGTAGCTTTTGTCATAAACTCAAAGCCTTCTTCTTTGAAAACAATAACCAACCAGAGAAGTCTTTTGAACCTGAAAGCATTAAAACTTACCTCTATCTGTATACCATTTTGAATTTGCAATAAAATCTTTTACATCATCTAAAATTTTCTCAGCAAGTCCATCATCCAAAATGACTGAATTTAATGGTCTCTGTCTTCTAGGAAAGCCAAACTGCCTCCACTCAGCTCCCATTGGCACGTACATAATTGTTTTTCCTTCCTGTTGTGATAATGCCAAACTTTTCGCCTCATCAAGCATATCATAAAATATTTCCTTATTTCTACCAAGAGATGTTAATGTTACTGTTTCCCAAGGTGCCCCGCTATGTAAGTCCACCATTCCTTTTTCTCGATTCCTTTCTACTTTGACCCAGTTTTTCTTGTACCAAAAGAAATGGGTACCAGGGCTTGGTGCAAAGTCAAATGTCGTTTTAATCTTCCCTGTTTCATTTTGATGGTAACTGGTTTGCACACTCAGATGTTGCGTTTTGCAGGCGCGATTCGTGATCCAGTGCAGCATCCATTGATAGCTTTTGTCTTTGCTTGGTACCTCTAAAGTTATCATGCAACGGCGACGAAAAAATATCATGCCAAACTGTGATCCTTTTCTCAGAAGTGCGAGGCCAGTACCCACTCCCACTAGCCCAAAGCCGGCTGAAAAATACGGATTATCGCCAAGTGAAGAAATCAGATCAGATATCGGCATCTTGACAAAACCATGGAGTTCTTATGACCTTCCTTCTTGGTATTATAAAGCTGTCAATAGCAGTAAAACATCGAAACTCACACCGTTCAATCTCTGGGAACAAAAAATTACTGACTAGGCCACATTGCCTCTTTTTAAAACACCCGTAAAGGAGACTGGAGGAATTTGAATAGAGTTCTCAAGTGTGACGTCACAAATAACCATTTTTAGAATTTTCGAATTTTGACCACATAACACAAAATAACACCATGAAATATTACCATATATGCAAAATCAGTTAGATTTATCAAAAATCGGATGAGCTATGGCCAATAGAAGATTTGAAGTTTACTAATGGATCACTGTTATTTTGGCTCAGTTGATAAAGTTATGAGCTGAGACCAAATTGCAAAGGTTTGATGGGGGGAGAGCTTGTGCTCATCTGGACATATCTCAGCCAATTCGTAATACATTTGACTGATTTTGCAGATTTAGAGGTATTTCATAATTCAGGTTATGGGAACAAATTTCAAAAATTCTATGAGACGTCATCACTTTGCCTTTTGAATCTTTATTTCTAGTCATCACTATTTGAATCTGCCACACCTTTTTCGCCTTTTATACAGAAAACTCACTAAAATCTGCTTTAGCCCCCCCCCCTACTGTTTTGCGAAAGAAATATATTCAAGAAAATTAGAAAAGAATAAAATATAAATACAAAAGAAAAAAAGGGGAAGAGAGTGCAATAAATCCTTTTATCGCATTATTTTAAAGGAATAAGCAGAGGTCTATTGGGCCTCATAAAGTAATGTTTTCAATTTTAAGACTGGAATCAATTAAGCGTAACAAAATCATGCCTTGAGAATATTTTTAAAACATTTAAAGCGATTTTAAGAAATTGACTGCAAGAAATATTCTGAAATGTATTTTTAAACTACACTCATTTTTTTATAAGAAACTGGCTATAAGAAACGAGTACTGGGCGGTCATAGAAATTTAAGAAACTTCAGTAATCGAAGCAAAAAAATTACGAAACTAATAAATCTTGACAAAACTGACAACAACGAAATTCTCTAAAATCCAAGAACATGATTGCCTTGTTGGCCTAGAACTTAAGACACAAGGGATACAAATATACTTCCCACATCTAAATACAGCATCAGAACAGAAGCGAATCTCTTGACGTGATTATAAAGGTCACGAACATTTCATAACATCATTTATGACATCATAATAGGAAACTCTCAAGAATCTTAAGAAACAATGAGTATTGAAATTTCCAGAACATTAAGAAACCGGAGTACTCAACATCGACCTTTGTTTCTTATAAAGAAAAATTAGTGTAATCACTTTGAATTTCTTGGCGCTGTCCCTGGTCTATGGGGAGATGAGTCTTTATCAAGTAATCAAAATAGAATCATGTTAGGAGTATTTATTTTAAAGTATTTATTTGCTTATTTCACTTTGAAGAGGCCATGAAAGAGTTGAAAATCTATTAGCTTTGCGTGCTGTACAATGTTATAGAATAAAACTAGGAATTTCTGTAATAGGAATTTCTTACGCGCTGAGCAATGTAGTAGAATGAATTCTTAGTTTTATTGAAAATTCCTTTTTTTTTTTGCCAGAAATAGTAAAGTATCTTCTACTTAGCGAATGTTATTTGTGAGTTTTCGCACATGAAACGGAGTAATTGCTGTAATTGGAGCTACTTATGCCCTGTCTCTCTTATGGAGACTGTGGGTGATGAGGAAGATAAAATCTGGTCGTCGATTTTAGAAACTCCCTCTGAACATTTTCGAACCAGAATGCGGAAAAACTGATCGTGTACAAAGGAATTTGCTTAGATTTTTAATAAAAAAATTCCTGTCATAACATAAACCCTATCATTTCCTGCCACTCAGAATAGGAATTAGGTCTTTATCATACGAATATTGCTTATAAGTATATTTAGGCTAAGAATCTTCCATTTTTTAAAAATATTATAAGAATGTTGCTCAGCCTCAGCTCGAATATTTGTGTATTATTTTTCAACAGTTGCTCGAATTCAGGCTCAAAATTAAAATTATTCTAAAAATTTCAAGGCTGGGAACAATTCATAGCAGTCCTATGAAAAAGTTGATAACAGTTGAACAGCAAGTGAATCAGGTTGCGCCAAATAAAACAAATGGCAAGTGTCCTCAAAACTGAATCCGGCTTCCTTTGGTTTGAAGACATTTCCGTCATTGACAGCTTCTGGTATATATTCCCGAATTCTTTTTCGTCCAAATTTGTGCACTTAAAGACCCCCCTGCTACAACTCATTTCTAATGTAGTTTTAACTAAATGACGTCACTATCCAGGGGATTTTTCACAACGTCAGCCTACGGAAGTTGGTTTGCCAACGCATTCCGGGTTCTTGTCGGGTCTTTTCAACTAGGAGTTTTGAGTTAGAGGGCAAAAATATAGCTGCTCTCTCGCACCCACATTGCGAAAAAGCAGCTTTAGAACTAAAAATGTCTGCAAAAGGGACCAAACAACTTAAAGAAAGACACCAGACCATTTTAAACGACCTTCTTCGCGAAGAAGTGAATCGCTACTGTGCTGACTGCCGAGCAAAGGGTGAGAGATTTTGGCTAGGCCTTATTTGTTTTGGTCGAAGTAATACTTGCGGCGTTATTAATTTGTTTGTATTTTATCTGATGGTGTTCCTTGTTATGCAGTTTTTCTTAATATCTCGCTTTACTTGACAAAATTTTTGCGTTGGTAGTGGGTTTCGGAACAAATACGATGACAACTGGTTAGGTTGCCGAACCGTGTAGTCCCAGTGATTTGCTATAATCGTTGTGTTTAATGTCGTCCTTTCTTCCCTAATATATCTGCGTCGCGTGATATACGGATTTTATCATAAACCAAGCTTATTTGTTGATTTAAAAGTTAATTTGAAAGTGTCAATTCCTTAAGAAAATCGCAATGTGTTGCATTTAATGTTAAATAATCATTTTACCATTATTTAATTCAATTTTTTAAGCATACTTTCGTGAGGTGAAGGACATCGGAAGTGGACCATTGCCTATTAATTTAACTGATTGTCTTTCATAAAAATATAAATGCTTTGCAACTAGTATTTATAAATAAACTCGAATTATTTTTCTTTTGAAAGGTTCCTCAATTCAATGACAAGTTTTTTAAATTTTAACATTAAAAACATTACCATTCTTTGCAAACATTGGCATTATTTTTGGATATATTTCAGATAGAAAAAGTATGTAATACTTGAGCTCTTCAAACAAAGCTTCAGGATTTATTCCTGATAAGATTTTTTTTCAACTTCACAAAAATATGGATGTTTTGACAATGAAGGGGTGTGTATGTAAAATGCGCTGTTGATGTACCCCTACAGTGATCAAGAGATAAAAAAAATAGTGGACTTATTGCATTACTATGTGTGTTGCATATAAAATTACTTCTCAGCAAGATTTTTTTTTTCATACAACACAACATCACAATTTTAACTTTAGGATAATTTTACTTAGGGCCTGTTTGCATGAAGTAGGCTAGTTTCTGCAGGTGAGATCATATTCACAAGTGTTTACATGAGGACACGATTTACCCCACTTAGGTTGGATGATTTCTTATTTGAAAATTATAAATGAGGTTTTTCTAGCTTTTGGCACCACAATAATGAATATCAGTTTTCCTCAACAAATGAATAACAAATGTATTCCTTTTCTGACCGTTAAAATTATTCTGTATGCTCAGATTCGTACTTCAGTTGCACATAATTCTGATTTGGCATGAGACAAAGTTTTAATCAGGTCTTGTTTTTAAAACTGAACTGAAATTAAAGCCTTTATCGTTTTGCTGACTCCTTGAGTCTTTTAAAGATGATTATTAAATTGTTGCTATACTGTCTTTGCTTTCTAAATATAGTTAGCAAATAAATTGAGTACCAGAATTAAAATATAATGATTTGGTTGTTAAAAGCAGGATGTTTTGATAACTAGTACATGCTCCAGATGTTGTGCTTTTAGCAATCAAACTATTATATTTCCATTCTAGTACTCAATTTATTTGCTAACTATATTCTTTTTCGTATCGTTTTTTCTTGATGATGGGATATTGATAGATGTTTTCAAGACCTAGATCTTATAAATCTTTAGCTGTGTGTTTCACCAAGACCTAGATCTTCTTAAAAGTGTGTAAATGAAGCAGAGGTTTGTGGGCAACTCGAGGCAGAATCATGGTAACTGGAATCAGCTGTCCATTAATGAAATTTGTTGTAAGTTGTAATCATAATGATAAAACTTAATCTTTTTCAGGACCAAGATGGGCTTCTTGGAACCTTGGTGTCTTTTTATGCATCCGTTGTGCTGGTATACATCGTAATCTAGGTGTTCACATTTCAAGAGTGAAATCAGTCAATTTGGATTCTTGGACCCCAGAACAAATTGAGGTGTGCTGTTTTATTCGAAATGTTAACTGTAACAAAAATAGATTGTCATTTTTCATTTCGTATACTCTTTAGATTAGCTTTAGCTTTAACAGAAAATTTTGACAGGAACTCATTGCTTTTAATCAATGTAACAATGTACTTTTAATCAAATTGCTCACTCTCTTGTTTTTAGTTTAAGGTGGCATATCAGTTCTAGTATAGTTATAGTAGCAACATTTGTATCTTTTTTTCTGTTATCAAACTTGTTTTCTAATGATGAAGTAAGCTTTTTAATTGACAATTAGCTTCTTTGCATCAAACATTTTTATATTCTAGAGTATTCAAAAATGGGGAAATGGCAGGTGTGCAGAGTATTATGAGTGTTATTTGCCAGAGGATTTCAATCGTCCACACGGTGATTCGTATCCTTTTCAATATGAGACAAAGTTAACTGCTAATAAACCATGGTTTAATATGATTAGTGGATAGTAACTGTGTTATATTCATTTTCTTACAAGTCATTAATATGTTGGTATTAGATGCTTTGTATTTATGCACAGCTCAATCTGGTGTCATTCCGTAACAAGGCAACTGTCAGACATGCTAGTCACTGGAAAAAACATACTTCCTGATCTCCTACCTCATTTTATAGTAAACCACCATTGTTCAAAGGGAGGAGGGCAGACCTGTCAACCCTCCTGGTTTACCCGAGAGACTCCCGGAATTGACTGCTTTCTGGTCTCCCGATTTTTTAAATTTTTCTGAATGTTCGCTGAATGTTTGATTGAACTGCGTCACATCTTATGCTTCAATTAGGGGTCCATTGTGTATGTTTTCTTTATACAGAGGTATAATTAAGATATAATGGTCACATTGACTTCCGCATGACAACAATTTTTTGTTAGTGTTTGCTGATTAACAAAAAAACACTAAAAATTATTATGAAGATACTTCTCATGGTCACTTTTGTCAAAAACTGTTTGCTGAGCACAAAATTTTATTAGGTATATTTATTCCTTTAACAAATTACTGTGATCTCCCAGTTTTTGACCAAATCTTTCTGTTTTTCTTTAGGAAAAATCTAAAATCTCCAGGTTTTGAAAATTTAAAGTTGACTGGTCTGGGAGGGTGATGACTGAATTTGGCCTTGAATGGTGATATTAGCAAGACTTTGACAGGCATTGTACTTCTATTTCTAGATTAATAATAAACTGCTGCAATACTGAAGGTGCTGTTGTTTAATCAGCACACACATTATTAGATTCGTGGGATGTAATCATTTGGAAATGTTGTTCCTAACAGCTCCCCCTGGTTAGGCAATTTATCCATTGATCATCCTAAATTAGCTATCTGGAATGAGTTCATGGTCATGTTTTATCATCTAGCACATCAATTTGTCTTCCTTAATGGCAATACAGAGCAATGGAGACCTTAATTAGGAATAAGTATGAAAGGAAACTTTACATCAAGAAAGATGGGGAGCCACCATTGAGGAAGAGTGTGCAAGCAGCAGTTAAGGTAAAAAGAAATTTAAGTGGCTTTTGAGAGTCTTGCTGTCACTGATATCATTCTGTTTAATTGTGTAGCAAGTTTGTGGGTTGAGAATGGTTTTAGAGGTCTTTCTTATTCTGGTGTCTTTCATGATCTACTGAAGGGTGTTATTTGGCATTTTCTTGGCCAAATCCTGCTGAAATATCTTTAGTCTGTCCAAATAATTTATTTCAAGATATGAAGTTCTAAGGTTTTTATGTCTTTATTTCTAATGTCTATCAGCAAAGTCTTGTCAGCAAATGTAATACAAAATTAAATTTAAATAATATGGCAGAAAATGGATTCCAACATGATGCGTAACATTGTTAGAACCAACTTTTTAAACATAGATAGTCAATGTGTATTTTCGTACATGTTAGACCTATTCATTATAACCAGCCTTTCCTCCATCCAAATAGTTCACCAACCACGGCATGGCAACTGTTATTGTAGCCTTGATTTATGATTCATCTAAAAGTTTAATCATTTTTCATGTTTAATCTGCTTAAGATGTTGATACCAGACAATGCAACAACCTGTCATTGATACTGTTAATACATGACTTCCATGGCATGTTGTTAAAGTCTGACAAAAAAAACTTCTCACTGGTCAATTTTCACTTTAGTTCATTTTAATCCAGTTCACTTCAGTTGGGCTAATTTCACTTCAATTCACTTCAATTCATTTCAATTCAGTTCGTTTCACTTCGATTCAGTTGCTTCGCTTCAATTCAGTTCTATTTTAGTTCAGCTCAGTTCTTTTTAGTTCAGCTCAATTCAATTCACTGTCGTGTGTTTTTATGTCCCTCTATGATTATTATGCTATGTACACTTTGTTATGCTGATTATTTTTGCACTAAGATGGTGGTCTGAATGCAAAATCTTAGTTGTGCTGGTTTAAGTGCCAATTCACATACTATATACTGTTTAGTAGGAATCTTGACTTATCTAAGTCTCGCCTATATGAATGAATGAGTATACTGAAAAAAGTAAAGTTTCTTTATGTCAAATCAGAACAAATTTCTATGGGGAAGGGAAGGAGAAACACTGTTTGGCATGTGGGGAGAGGGAAGGAGAAACACTGTTTGGCATGAATGAAACTAAGCATAAAAGTCAAGCAGTATTAGATATCTTCCACTGTTGGGAGTAGTAATTTTTTGTTTATTTCAAGCTTCAACCAACACAGAGAAAAGGCGTTCTGATCCATTACATTTTGCTAGCAGACTGACATTAAAGATGAGTAACATGAACTGTCATAATTTTATATTATTTGTTTTAAGCCATCAATGGAAGAGAAGAAAGAAAAGCCAAAGGAAACAAGACAAAAACCTACACAGACTAAACGTGCTGAAACCAAGGTACATATGATAGAACCACCAACACTCGAAACTCTGTCAGCTTTTACCTGAGCTGTATTCAAAACCTAAATCTTTTTTACAAGAGCACACTTTAATGAGTAGAGAGGCTCACTTTTCCTCAGCCTCAGATGAAAAATTTAAAAGAAATTTAGATTTAATTTGTTTTGGAAACTTTCTTTCATGTTGAAAAAACTGAGGAGATTTTGTTACAAAATCAACAATGCTGCTTGAAAAACCAAACAGAACTGTCACTTCATTGTCTTTGAATTAATTTAGAGTATTTATATTTTCGATTTGGCATCCCAAGGTATTTTTTGGGACACTGAGAAGCTATACTTATCAAGCAGTGTCCTGATCCTTCCTCTCTAAGTGACCACACCTTGTGATTCTTATGCCTTGAATTTCAGAAAGCTGGCGAATCTCCTCACTCTAGATGAATGTTTTGTAATGCTAGAGACTCGAACCATGGGCCCTTGTATCTGTAGTCGGCACCAATTGATAATATAGAATTTTAAACAAGAATGTTGGTATAGGAATAATACTAAGATTACATTAGCTTCAAATTTATCTAAAAATAAGAACATGGTGTCTTGGCAAAAATTATCTAGTTCTTATAAATTGAGAGTATAGCCCCGATTAGTTGGTTAAGGAACTTTGATCTCTTCAACTGTTCCAAAAATACCAATTGATGTCTCTGTATCATTCTAAGATTACTTTTTTTGCTCTTTATTATTTCTTTATGACTTCATCTGCTTTCTGACTGCTCTGTTTTTCACCTCAGATTTTATAATCTCCTTTGCACAGACTATTCATTAATCGTTCTACAATTATAAAAAATATGCATAGACTACAATAAAATAGGCCCTTGATCACCTGATGTTATTTTCCAGACATTCTCAAACAGATTTAGTGGCAAAATTTGTAAAAATAGTTTTATTTGCAGGTTGAACGAAAAGCAGCTCAGCCAGCCAAACCTGCTGCTGAACGCCAGCCCACTGCAGTTGCTGCAGTCCCAAAGCCACAAGTTTCACCAGTCATCGATCTGCTTGGTATGGATAATCCAAGTCCTGTTCCTGCGCAGCAGCCCCAACAGCCAGCACCTATCCAAAATGAAAACAATGATTTTGATTTGTTCATGCAGTCCACCCCAGCGAGCAGTGCTCTGCAGAGTCAGGTAAGGAGACAAAATAAAATGATCCAAACCCCACTAAATCGAAATTTTCTTATTCCATCTATAGTGCAATGTCTAGATTTTTTACCTGCATTAAGTTCATTTATACTTGATTGGTCAGATAGAAGATGTTCTCATTACCATTCGCACTTGAAGGAGTCTACTGCTTCCTATATATAACTGACAAATTTAGCTAAATATTCGCGACTTATCAGGACATAAACCGTGACATGCTTTGGTTCACATGCAGAAAGGTTACCAACTTCTAACAAATATGATTATGACCATTGTGGGTCAAGCTAGCAGTGACTTTGCAGTAAAATGGGTCTACTTTTTGATGCCATAATTATTTATTGTCATTAAATAACTTAGTTTCTAGCCTATCAGTAGCTCACTTAGACTAACTTATAATCCCATTTTCCTTATTCAATCCTGACTGCTCCCATTTTTCCATAGGAATTGCTTTATCTATTTAGTTGTTTCTTGTTTTAAATTTATTTTTTAAGTATTTACCTATAAATTTACTCATTCCTATACACAGATAGAAGTTTATTCGCCAACTGTCATGTTTCCCAATCAATACCTTAATTTCTGCCTGTTCCTATTTTCAGTTGATGCGCATTTTTTGAATTTGTAACCAAGTTTCTTAATTAAATGCTAGCAAAGTTTATTGAAGTTTTGTAGCCGCGTATCCATCTCACATGATGCTATGGAATGTAGTATTTGCAATGCGTATAAAGTTTTCAACATTATTGTGTTTTTCAACTTATGTCTAGAGTTTGAACTTAAAGCATTGTATCTTGTGCTCCTTCTGTTGTATATATTTTTATCAAATCCGAGCATCAGCTGTCCTGAATAACATTGCTTCGATTTTCTGTTCTTTGTAGGCTGGTCCTGCCTCACAAAATCCAATGAACGCTTTCGGTACACCTCCCAACATCAATGGCGAATCATTAATGCTTGAAGATAAAACTCCAGCTCCTGCTAACACAAAAGGTATATTACTGTGAAAAATTGTTTTGTGATCAATATGGCATTTGTAGCAGCTGATAGCTAACTCTACCTACAATCCTAGGCACATGTTGTGACAAACTCATCGGTACCTGCCTTGTAGAGGTCTTGTAGAGGTCTTGTAGAGTGTCTTAATCCCAGCTCCCTCCCAGGCAATCTTAGAGCAAGGTCCCCTTCCAAGTAGGTGTTGTCTAAACCTATTTCGCAGTGTTCCAATTCGCATGTACTAAAGTTCCAATGCTCAATGCGATGGCCACCCAAGTCCCAGATTTTTCCAGTCACAGTTCATTAAATGCTCAGTGCCGAAATATGTAATGTTTTTCAAGTTTACCACCTTTGTTTTTGTTTCTACCTAGCACCCAAAATTAGTTTTGTGGACACTGAGAAGCTATACTTATCGAGCAGTGTATTGGTCCTTAGATTTCTGGGGAGTCTCCTAACTCAAAGTTTGGTCATGTAAGAGACTCGAGCACCAGATCAGACCTGTCAGCCTAAAATTTTCAAAACCTGGAGATTTCAGCATTTTTGTTGAGAAAAACAGGGAGATTTGGCCAAAAGCAGAGAGATCCCTGGAATTTGTTAAAATTATAAACAGCATACCTGTCAAAAAAAGTCATGTTGAACAAACAGTTATTGATAACAGTTATTGTGGGTAGGGTCTTCCTAATGGTTTTTAACGTCTTTGTTTATTTGTTATCACTAACGAAATACCTTGTCTCGAAGAAAGTCATTTCAATCATGTTTGTTATAAGAAAATCTCTGCTAAAAGACAAGGAAAGACTGGGATAACATTATAAAAAACTGGGAGACCGGGAGAAAGTAAGCAAAACCTGGAGAGTTGACAGGTCTGCCAGATCCTTAGACTGTAGTCTGCGACCCTAGCCACTGAGCCATTTTCCTGCTCCTTCAGAACACTCCTTGTAGATTTATCTATATGCCATCATCAGATATCAACATGGAACTGAAGGGCAGGCAAATCCCAACACCACCTCTATAGAATTTTTGATTATCTAAAGTTGAGCTCAACACGGTGCTTGGACATATGATTGTTGCATGGAATTTATTGGGAAATAGTGCCTATTTACTGGCTTTGCCGAGAGCCATCAACCGTTTCTCTACAAATTGCACTGAAAATATCAAACAGTGTGTCGTAAAGTAGAACTATGAGAAAAACTATTACCTTTAATGGTTTTACTCAACTCTAATTCGGTAAACAGCATAATCTGCGTACGACACAAACGAGAGGTGTAAATGTCCTTTGAAACTAATTAATGAGGTGAACAATAAAGTTCGTAACCAACACAAAGATTCTTTGCTATCACACAGTGTTCGAATTGATCTTTTATAGTTATTGAGCAATTGTGTGTATTGTAAAATGTTTTTGTATAAATATAAATAAGTCTCGAATCATTAGTTTCTGCTACTGATGTTCAAACGTTTCTCTGTTATTTTCAGCATCAATAATGTCTTTGTACCAGTCTGGAAGTCAGCAACAGAAGCCAATCTATGGTGTTCCTGGAGGGTTGTACGTCACACAACAACAAGGTTGGGTCCTTACTGATTACCCACTCCACCGTCTTTCATTTTAAATAGAATCTTTATCAGGAATCAGTCGATATATGAACGACACATGCACCATTTTCAAAGCAGAGTTAGTGATATTTTTCTAAAACGCCCTAATATCCTACACCCAGCCCTCAGGTTTACGTTCAATAAGGAAGAAAATTACTCCTTGCCATTTCTAGACGTTTTGATCGAAAAATCTAACACTGGATTTCTTACATTTCTTACCAGTGTTAATCGTAAGCATACTTGCACCGGTCAGTACATGCGCTGGAATTCTTTTTGCCCAAAACAACACAAAATCAACCTTGTCAAAACTTGTGCACAGGACACCTATGATCTGCTCGAAAACCAAACTCCACGCAGTGCTTGACAACTTAAAACGACCTTTTTGGAAAACGGCTATCCAGAAGATGTCATTTCTCCTTAAACTAGAGAAAATATCGCAAGTTTTTCGGCTGTCCAAAAGTTCGGTCCACAAAATTGCCCAGTTTTATCTTAAAGTACCATGGATTGGTAACATTTCCTTGCGATTTAAAAATCAGACTAACCATGCCATCACAAAATGTTTCTTTGCTGTCAGTCCTCGTATACAGTACTAGGAGAGCCCTTCCATCCATTCAAAAGGATTGCGTTCCTACCACCCGAAAAATTTCTCTTGTTTATGAAATAACGTGCCAGTGTAATTCTTGCTCCGTAGGACGCACAACCCAAAAATTTAATATTAAAATGTTTTTATGTTCTGTACATTTGTAGGGCCAAACACGCAAATGATGAGTGGTTTAGGGCAAAAACAGCCATCGATGCAGATGGGTCAGCCTTCTATGCGAATGGCCCGGCCTTCTATGCAAATGGGCCAGCCTTCTATGCAAATGGGCCAGTCTTCCATGCAAATGGGCCAGCCTTCAATGCAAATGGGCCAGCCTTCCATGCAAATGGGCCAGCCTTCCATGCAGATGGGTCAACCTCAGATCGGGATGAATCAGCAACAGATGATGATGAATAGACAGAATTTTGGAACTGCACCGTTAAGTATGGGCGTAGCACAACCAAATATGGGTATGCAGCAGCCAATGGGAATGTCGCAAAATCAAAACATGATGTCAAACGTAAGTGACGCTCATTTTAGAGGAATTTATCATTTAACCGTTTGTGATTTTTATTTTCTTTCTTTGCCTTCAATGATCCACAACCTCACAAGCAGAACATGTTGATGCAGAAGACGCACCACATAATATTTTCGTTTTTTTACTGGTTTCAAGAATCCCTCTAAGATAACTGAATCCCGTTTTGTTCCTGAACAGAAATGTTTCAGTTTTGCACCCATTATTCTAGTTCAATAATGATTAAATTTCATACCCGTAAATTTGAAGTTTTAGGAAGATGGACTTTAGTAACTTGATGGTTCTGATGTAAGATTGCTCTGTTTACTTGCTTGAGCTGGGAAGGCATTTTATGACCCCACCATTTAGCATGTAAAAATTTAAGGATATGCTCATAAGACGAGAGGACACTACAAATGTGTGATTGTTTATAGAGATTCAATGGAGCATATGAATTCAAATTGACAGTGGTCATTTTACATGGTTTACTGTACATTTGTGCTATTCAGATTGTGTTTCAACGGCGCGCGGTGTTAAATCCCTCAAATAGGGTTTGTAACAGGTTCGAAATTGATTAATATTGGCTGCCAAGTGTCTTGTGTAACTAACGGCAGAAATTCTTTTTCGACATTGCTAATATATTACGGACATGAATCTCCCATGCCACTTATAAATCCTGTCTATGTGCCAATTTTGGGCCTCTGCAAGTTGGAGGAACCATCTGAACATATAGCTTCTTATCGATGTTCCTCTGGTCTCTAAAAAAGCTACAATTGCGTGGTGCAGTGTGTAGATGAGAAAGCTTGTGCGTTGCTTCCATGAAAGGGTTTTCAAGTGAGGGGTCTGGAACACAGGCTACTATGAGGAGACTTATGATATTAACCTGGTTTGCGAAGATAAATTCCCGTAATGCCATCATGACAGTTTGATAAAGGTAAACGAAAGATTTATGCGCAACACAGCCTATTTTAGTTACACTCTTTTTTTAAAAGAACCAGTAAATTTAAGTTCAGGCTGACTGTTTATAATTTTTTCGAAAATCTGAGGCTAGATTGTTCTTAATTTGTTCTTAAATTAAAAGGGTGTAAGCAGTGCTATTGCTAGCTTTTTCGCTCTAAGGAGGTGTTCAGGCCTCATCTGCCAACAAAGTGAGTGAGACAGTCTTGGCAAATTTGAATATTCACCGAAAAAGCACCCACACATAGCTAAAAATCCTCGATTTTGAGAAAAACGTTGTTCAAAATTGCATTTTGCAGAAGCTCAGCCTCAGCTTGTTCTTAATTTGTTCTTAATTTTTGACCAGTTTTGAGGCTCGTGTTCTTATATAATTGTTCTTATAAAAAATGTATCTTGGGTACACAGTCAAAAAATGGGGTGGTCGTACGACCAAAGAAAATTCATTAAAAGCAATTGCATTTCAGCTGCAATACACATAAAAAGCCTTGTTTTGACTGCGTTTAGGAAAGGCTTCACTCATAGACTGACCGGAGGATGAACACTTTTCAGGACTCTGCTCAAGAATACTGCATTTCTTGGACTGTCCCGCTCATTTAAGCTTATTTTCTTTGCAGATGATGATGATGCAAAACCAAATGCAAAATTTGAACATGGGACCGAGAGCCCAAATGTCCGGCATGTCTGCACCACGTAATCAATTTATGGCCGGAAATTTCCAGGCATCTCTCGGACAGTCGATTATGGCGAATAGCTACGGATCAAATAGAAATATGATGCCTGCGCAGCAACCAATTCTAGTTAACGGCCCCGGAGCGGGGCTTTCAGGTGCTAGCATGAATACATCTCCAGCAATGGGACACACCCTAAGTAACCAGTTGTGGAAATAATAGTTACCGGGGTATTTAAAATGTTTACGGAAATATCAATTACAAGATGTTCTTTTAAAGAAAGTATATAGTCGATAGAACCTTGTAGATAATGATGAATACTCAATAACTCGTTGATATGAGGTCTATATTGTAACTCTGGCAAAACGCCAATTAGATTCCGAACTTGGTTTTGTAAGTTTGCTCAATGTTCTTCGTACAAAGAGTTCCAAAGTGATGACGTCACAAATTTTTCAATTTTAAACATTGTACCTGAATGTGCTTTACAAAATGCCTCTAAATCAGCCGAATATCTTTGCAAGTTGGCCAAGATATGACAACACGAGCAATAGCTCTTGTCCTATCAAATCACTGTATTTTTGTCTTAGAGGTATTTAAATGTATTTTATGCCGTTCTTTCAGATTATGCGGTCCGAATTAAGAAATTCTAAAAATATACTTTTGATGACATCACACTTTCATACTCTATCCCAACTTATGAGAATTTATTCGCTGAATTCCAGTCTGGAATGTAAATTTTGTACGAAGAGCGTTTGAAATGATATCTCTAAAACACTTAAGGTGAAGTGATGTTTGGATCTGTGTGTGATCATCTTCATCGTTCTTATATCTCAATTAAATTATCAATGTCGTCGTCGATGTAAATCATCATCATTATTATTCTCATCATCATTATCTTCGTTACTTTCCAATCTTTTGATTCCTACGATTTAATGGAACCTTTTACTCAACTATGCTAAAAATTAACAGCAAACATTACTCCCGGTCATAACAAAGTTTAGACATTTGTTTTCCTTTTCAAAGATTAACAAGCCAAGATCAAGGTAGAAACATATAATCTTAATTTTTTTGTCCTTGGTAATTAATTCAGATTCGAACTTTGCAGCAAAATTAACTTGATCTCAATTTGTCTTCGACGAAATCATGTTACTTGTAATGTGGAAATTAAGCGTTGCAGTATTGATAGGATGAATGTTACCCCTCCTGCCCCCCTCTCCCTCTAGGATTCTTACGCTTTGTTTGATGTAACGCGACTGTAAGGTCCACTGTTTTCTTGCAAAGGGATGCTTGGCCCTTGTCAACTCCCATAGAATGTCGCATTTCGAATCTGAAATGCTGTTGTTTTTGGCCGAATCCGAATCTGTAAATTTCTTAACGTGTGGTTGTTTGCTTCATTTCAACAAGACTACCGATTATGCGAAACTCCATCCGCGCTTTTCTGCTTCCCATCCTGGGATTGAAGGGTCGGTGGTCACGAATACACAACCCGCCACATTTATCCCTGTCTATACCTCACTGTCACCCACCCAGCGTCTTAATGGTTCTCCGTTATCCTGCTTTTCTTAGATTCAACCATCAAGGATAATGGTACACAAAAGCAGGACAATCAGTAAGGATGTAGCCGTTCCTCGGGACAGTCTTTGTGACATCCACCCCTGTTTGAATTACCCAGAGCTGGCTCTCGACCCCCCCCCCCCTTGCCATTATCCTTATAGAAGATAGAAGGCAAGCGTTAAAGACTTGCTGTCATCAGAAGATACCCTTACGTTTCTGCAACCCTCTCTTGTATAAGTAAAAAGTCTCTAAGGTTTTTAGCGAAATGTGTCAATCTAAAATCTTTAGCAAAATGTGTCAATCTAAAATCTTTAGCAAAATGTGACAAAGAGAAAAGCAAACTAGATTTCTAGATAAAAACCCATTGGTCTCGTGACTAAGAAATCCCCTTTGACAAATATAGTTAGATGTAGACAGAAACAAAGGCCTAACTTTTGTGAAGACATTAACTATAAGCATGAATTGGTTGCGAGTAAGTTTCATACTAAGGTTGATCGATGTATAAAAATTGAAATATACTTCCAATAAAAGAGCTTTTCATTATTTTTCACGTGCTTCTGCTCCTCTAAAATTGTCACGACTTGAGCTGTTTGCATTTTACCCACCAAAAGCATCAGATGCTTAGCCTTCCTGATATTTTTATATTTTTGAAACACAATTCAATGAAGGTTTTGTTGGTAGCTCTTATGTTAGTTTTCTATCTTTCCTCGGTGCAATCACTGCAGCAAAGTGTGCCGAACACAAACCCTGTTTGCAAACTGCATGGCGTGCAGCGTTTTAGTCCGCAAGATTATTTAGTTGATTCTGTGTAAGCTCAAAATTGGGATTACATTTGCCATAATTTGCATCACAGGCCGATGTTCTTGGCCTGCTAACAATTCTACTAAGCCACATGTTCGAAGTCACCACAAAGCAGAAAAACGCCACTGTCTGCAGCGCTTCTCCCATAAACTCTATCCGACACAGGCTCCTTTTAAATGAAAACTGAAGTGAATTGAATTGCATGATTTAATTGGCAGGAAAGGCGGGCATTGGAAACAAGGCTATTCTGTGACAAGGCTGTTGTCGAGAAAAGTTTGCTTGTATTGAATTAATATGACAGGGGCTCCGTACAAAAGTTTTCACGGACACTGGTTGTACCGAAGCTTGAGTTGAGTGAGGCTAAGTATGGCCTATAATTGGAATTCTTCAAGGCCTGAGCAATAATTATTGATGTATCAACAGACCGTTCAAAAATTAAATCATTGGCTGTTGCTGTGCAGTATTTTTCAATGAAAAATTAAAGTGTTCAGACAAAGCTCTTGAACCTGGTTCCTGTCATATCTGGAAAAGCAGAATATCTGTTTGTGGTGTTATGCACAGAGCTGCAACAAAATCATCTCGGAATAGAAAACCTCATTGGATTCTCCGCTGACACAATGTTGTGTATGCGCGCGCGATGCCTAAAATCCTCTGCGACCTAACGCTAGACCTAGAGAGCACGCGAGACAAGACGCCATGTTTTTACTCCGACCCTGATCTAATCTCATCTATCAACAACTCCAATCTGAGGCTAGTATAAAATGGTTTATGCCTAATACATTACACACAACAAATGTTATGTTCGGAAGCAACAATTCAGTTGATGCACGCATCAAAGAAGCCAGTCCATCTTGCCTTGTTCTGAAATGTATGTGCCATTCAACTGCACTCAGCTTTAGCTACGCTTCGAAAGTATTGCCAAGAAACATCGACCAACTAATTCGGGACATATACAATTATTTTTCGCAATCAGCAAAAAGAATCGACCAATTTAAAGAATTTCAAGTATTTACAGACACTCCGTAACACAGAATTTACAGACACTACGATTCTATGATATAAAATGGCTGTCTTTAGGAGCTTGCGTAGGAAGAATTCTAGAACAATGATCTGCCTTAACCTTGTTCTTCCAAGAACAGTGCTTACATGACAGAATTCAAATGTCAGAAAAGATTGCTGTGGAGCTGGATGCATTTTCAACAGGTTTTTCTTCACATTCCTTGATTTCATATTATATATAACAAACCAATTGAACACACTGTTTCAAAGCCAAAGTCCCAAAATACACCAGGTCTACACAGAATGTTTTTCTGTGTACAAGGCGGTCATGTCTTGTTTCTTTAAAGAGAAATTATTAGACTCTCAGATAGAGAGTTGTTCAGTCTTGATTACGGAAAATTTGGTCTTCCATGTTGAGCTGCATCAAGTGTACTTTGGCAGCAATATTGAAAAGGTTAAACAGGACCCAGCTTTCACAGGTATACCAGCATCAGCTCGACAGGAAGTTTTGCAGAAGTGTAGAGATTCTCTTGTAACCTTAGCGAAGGAGCTAAAGAAGAGATTGCCAATCAATGGAACGATGCATGGCCTCAGGTTCTTAAAACCCCAGGTCGCAGTCCCTGGTGAAATCGGATCCATTGTTCCATTGTTGGAAAATTTTCCAAACATCATTGAACCCAAACTTCACCAAGAATTGGACATGCAATGGCGGCAATTGGCAATGGACAGTTAACTTCCATACATGCTTACAGGGCCAAAAGGCGAATCAATTAATGTGACAAAGTTTTGGATTAACATTGGGAAAAGCACGGATTTGAACTGATATCATTGCTAGCTAAAAAGCTACTTTCCTTGCCAGTGTCTAATGTTGCCTGTGTGAACGGATATTCTCGCAAGTTAATTTGTTGAAAACAAATCAGCGAAATAGATTTACTATTCCTGGAGTTGCTGCCCACCTGTTTGTTAAAGATGGACTCCGTGACGGTGATGAGAAGAACTGCACCAATTTTGAACCAACAAAGTCCATGAAAAATAAAATGAACCAGAACATTTACACCAGGGTGCAGGATATCTTAGTAAATTTTCCTAAAGACGATCTTGATTCAAACAGCGAAGATGAATGATAAGAATTTTCAGCAATTGACATTATATGAACTAATCATGTTTTTGTTAATTTAAATTGATTGTGCTGGTTTGTAAACTGCTCAACTTAAATCCTCTATTTGTTGAGCGTTATTCTGGGTTTTTTGCTATTCTGCACATGCGCTGGCCTCTCTTTTAAACGAGAGAGCCTCGATTTTAATCTAGCATAAATTTTGTAAATCTGGCATAATTTTATGACAATTTCAGCATAATTGCGAAATTGAGATCTCGTCACACTCTAACTTCATCTTTCATTGCTTCTTGATCGACTCCATTCATTTTTACATATTTATATCCACCATGGTGCCGCAACAGGTAGTAACTCGCGTAGGCGAGCAGCAAAAACTTAATGTATCTCAGTAAAAATGGTTCCTTTTCTAGTTGATGATTAAATAGTGAGAGTTTTGTGATTTTGAAAAAGGCTTCTTAAAGGAAATACTATCCCAATTCACTTTTACGCTTCAATTCCATCCCTGAAATCATGTGTTTTCTCAGTTTTTGATGGATGGTTTTAAGCCTCCATACCGTCTTAGAGACTCATTGCTAACAATGCGTGTTCATCAAAGTCGTTACTACTAACGTTACAACTAACGTTACAACAAACGACATTTCTACCAAAACAGATCCTAAAACCTCTCCAAAAACCAGGAAAAAAGCCAGGGCCGCCCTCAAATCTATGACCCGACCAATCATACTGTTATCTGTTCTAAGAAAATTGCTTACCATCCGTATGATTAGAAGATGTTGGGTGCGCATCAGCACTAAAATCCCAATCGGACAAGCTGCCTACAAAGCTGGTCGAAGCACAACCGAACAGGTTTTTGCAATCAAGATGCTAGCAGAGAAAGCAATAACATCCAGCAATTACAACATCTACCTTTTACTGCTAGACATGAGTAAGGCCTTCGACACGGTACACCGCGGAAAATTATTAAAAGACCTGCAAGAAATACTTCAACCCGACGAACTACACATGATGTCCCTTTTGGTAAAGGATGTAAACTTGCGAGTCAAAGTCGGAAAAGAGAAAGGCGAAAACATCAAACCAGAAATAGGGATTACACAGGGTGACTGTCTAAGTGTGCAGTACTTTTCATCTTCTACCTTGCTAGACCCATGAATACCGAGAAGGCAGCAACAGATCCATTCAGAAAGAACAACTACTTTGAAATAAACCCTCAGTATGCTGATGACATCACATGGGCATCTACTGCGAAACATCAAATAGATCATATTAAAGAAACCATACCTGGTAAACTTGAAAAAAGAAACTTGCGAATAAATGAATCAAAAACGGAAGAAGATAACATCGAGCAAAAGGGAGATGAAGCATGGAAAGAATGTAAAGTTCTTGGAAGTCTACTCGGTACAGAAAAAGACATCAACAGAAGAAAGATATTAGCAATTGATGCCTACAAAAAGCTCAACAGCATTTTCAGCAGCAAGAAAAACTCCATCAAGATCAAGCTGAGAACTTTTAATGCCTATGTAGCAAGTGTATTTTTGTATAATAGCGAACTGTGGACACTAACGACGAAGCTAGAAAACACCATCGACACTTTCCAACGTAGACACCTAAGAAAGATCCTAGGAATTAACTGGCAAAGAAATATTACCAAAAACGAGCTCTATGTCAGAACGAAATGTGAACCATGGAGTGAAATAATAAAAGAAAGGAGACTAAAATGGCTAGGACATCTCATGCGCTTGCATCCAGAAGCACCAGCATGGAAAACCCTTGAAGAATATCTCGGGAAAGTAAAACGGCCACAAGGAAGACCAAAGACGACCTGGATGCAGACAGTAAGGCAAGATCTGGCCAGCATCGGAATTCAACTGGATCTCTCAAAAGAAGCACAAACATTGAATAGATTATCTGAACTGACACAGGACAGAAAGAACTGGCGTGGCATTGTGAGACGCGTCGTGCAGTATTAACTGCGTGTGACGTCGTAGTAGTAACGACATTTATCGGAACTTTCCGCAAATTCTTTCTCAAATGTCCAGAGTTAAATAGATGGCAGACCCTTTCAGAAAATAGGAGAACAAACAACACAATATCTTTCTCTATTGACTTTGATCAACAGCTTCAAATGTGCAAAAATTAAAGATGCAAAACAAAATAAGCGAGCAAATAAGTATCTTAACCAGTTCTTTGCTTCTTGGTCCAACGTCTGCTTCAGGATCGTTTGCGCAAGGATCGTTTGTGCAAGGGTCGTTTGCGCAAGAGTCGTTTGTGCAAGGGTCGTTTGTGCAAGGGTCGTTTGCGCAAGGATCGTTTGTGCAAGGGTCGTTTGTGCCATGCAGGATCTGAAACAGAGCCGTCTTTTGCTGTTTGCTCAGAATTGTCTAAAAGAGACCATTTACAAATATCAAGAAAGACCTAAAAAGTTAAGTAAAGAAACGCCCCAAGGAGAATCTGGGGTCAATTGAGCGTGTAGCTAACACGCTCCTTGTTGGAGTCAAATATGCACGATTCAATAGGGCCCAAGACAATTCCGGAATAACGATTTTAACGTCTCAAAGAGCGACCCAGCCTTACATCGAATTGATTATTTGCATATCTATTTGCATGTCTTGTCGTTTTCAACAAAAGTGCCAAAGAACTATAGACTAAAAGTTAAAAGTCTATAGTACCTTCAGATAATTCATTGTCCTCTTCCGGTTCTGCAGCATCATTTTCCTCTTCCGGTTCTGTAGCATCACTTTCCTCGTCTTCAGAGAGCTCTTCAGCTTCTGGGTCTTCCATATCTTCACTTGCAGAATCTTCCTCTACATCAACCTCTTCCGGAACACTCATCTCCGCCACCTCGTAGGTGTTTTCCTCGACAGTTGCACCTAAAACATTCATTCAACCCGGTGTAAGCTTAACTATTGAAGATTGTTACTTAAAAAGATCACAATGGCATTTGCTAAGTAGGAATTTGCTTACGTGAAAACTTTGATAAAAAGCTGTTTTAACTTGGTATCACAAAGCAAAGTATTTGACCTAGTCTTTCTATTCTTTCTATAAAAAGGGTATTTAGGGTATAAATAGGAATAATTTACTGTATAGCAGCTATACATTTAATTTACAGGCACCGTCCAACAACCCCGCCAACGATCGTTCAAATCAAATCGTTCAAAAACTCTATCTCAATAATTTAAGCGAGTGCATGGATCTTTCTTCGCCCGAGGGGCAAATCACTGCTTAAAATCACGTACGCTCTCAAAAATAATCACACTTTAATCACAAATTAATCACAAAAATCACATTAATCGCATTAATATCATATTAATCACAAAAAAATCACCAGTCACATTAAGCGCAAATATTTGAATCTTTGGTCACGTATATTCGCCTATCTTATTGACAAAAATTAAATGTCATTTTCAAGGTCTTCCACACTTTTATGTACATGTTCAAAAATCTGCCAACACACTCAAGAACGTGAGCATAAATGAAGGCCTCATTCTCACGCCGGGGTCGCTGAAACAGCTACAAGATGAAAAATTATTTTGTTGCTGATATTTTAGTACTTCCAAGCTTGGGTGTTGGGGCTAGGCGGGACACCCGGTGGGCTTCTTTCAAATGAGTTTCTAAAACCCAGGACAAACAGACCTCTGTGAAAGAGATGCGTGTAATATGAACAGGGCCGCCGAGAGCGGGACAAGAAAGAGCAAACTGCCCCAAGGCCTCAAGGTTTAGGGGACCTCTTAAAGCCAGGAATTCCAATATAAGAACTGAATTTTAACGAAACGCAACAAAGTATGCCTAAAGAGTTGTAAAACGCGGTAAACAACTGTAAAAGACATTCTGAAATGCATTTCAAGCTAATTTAAATGGCGTGGCCGGAAAAATTTTCTGCTCGCTTCGCTCGCAGTCCGAAGTGCTCTGTCACTTTGTGTTTGTATCAAATGTGCACTATGTGCAAATGTGCATTGGTTTTGTTCCACATTTTTTGCAGTCTTAAAGAGACTATGGTTAGAGAAAAGATGATACACCCCAACAAATGATGCAAATGAACCTTCAAAGGTGATAAAAACTGGCATCTTTTTACTTTTTGTAGGTGCATGGTTTCCTGGTACGTACCTTTTTTGCGACCTGTGGTTTGTGATTGGAGATGTCATACAAATGAGTAGGCCCTCTTATTATCATTTCTCCCGGCCCTTTTCTAGGGGCCCAACATCCCTGTTTTATACTCATTGCCGGTTGATTGTTGATCTACGCCAAACTGCAATGATAGGTTGTCATTTGATTCAAGAAATACTGTAGTTTAATTTGACCTATGACTTGGCTAAACCATTATGTATTTTCGTTTTATTCATGTATCTTGCCCTATGTCGCCTCTTCAAACGGGTTTGATTGCACAAAAACCTATTTGAAAGCACTTTCGAATATGTGATTAATTCTTAAAAAGTCACGAATTAATCACAAATTAATCACTTTAATCACTAAAAAATCAAATTAATCACAAATCAATCACTCGTGATTATTAATCTCGTACGCCATTGTCAGTAGTGATTTGCCCCTCATCCATGCAGTGTCTTGACTAAATAAAAGCAAGCAAGGCTGCACCTACCGTTGATTGAAATGACGAGTCCAAGAAGGACACAAAACAGCAACACGGCCTTCATCTTGGAACAGGATCACAGCGTTCTCAGCCCAAACCTTCTCTAGCACCACTTCTCCAGTACAGAATATCTCTTTTCTGTGCCTCGAACTGCTAACACAGCGCGATTCTGTTCTTTTATACCCTCAAATCTGGACTTCCGGTTGGCATAGATACTTTTTGACCAATAGACTGCCCTCTTAGACAGGGAATTTTGCATAACATTCTAGCAAACTAGGCAACCGAAGTTTTTAGAGTATAAATCATAAGATTAAAGACCACTGATCATTTTAAGCCCTGGAAACATTCTGGCAAATGACCGAAAGTTGCGTTTCCGGATGCATGAAAAATGCACGGTCAGCAAAATTTCAACTTTCGAATTTTTCAAATCTGATGATACTATCGGAAAGAAGATGCAAAACTGAGCAAAAGATTTAAAAAGAGCAATGTGATCTGACCTATAAGCAAAAAGTTATGGCTGCGGAAACTTTTCGTTTTGTCAAACAACTTGCTTTCTCGAGTTTCCTGTTAATGCAGACGCATAGCAGTAGAATTGTGCATGTTATGATAATAGCATGAAGTTTGGTACAAGTACACAATCCGATATGGTGAATAAGATGAAGTTCATATCAAGCTTAAAAAAGCCCCCAAAAGCTTTATTTAGACTGAGGTACTTAAACCTAGTCCATTGCTGGCTATTTGTACAACTGAAAGAAAAACATGAGGGCGCATAGAAACAAGCAGCTCATCAGCCAGAAACCCCAAGGAGACATTTCGAGGCTTTTACTTGGCATGTCTCCTTTCTTGTGGGCACCTTGCACCTTACATAATTCTTCATCAAGGATCACGGCTGTTAACAGAAATAGAAAAATATGAAATTGATTTTTTTTACAAAATGAACCCATCGACACAGGGTACTCATTGCAGCGTTGTTATGTATATAGAAGCATCAAGTTTGAAGGAACGGGATGGACAGGGTCGGACATCGCTATGGGAGGGATGGGTCTGAGGAGTTTGGAGAAGGGAGTGGCTTGGGTTCCCACGATTATGTATGACGTTTGCTACATGGTTAGGGTGGGAGTGAGTAGGGTTGGGCGTGGTTATGGAAGAGAAGGATTGAATGGGCTGACTCGCTTGACTTCAATAAGGTTGAATTAAGAAGACATTCTACCACTTGATTTTGCAAATTAACACAAAAACTTTATAAAGCTTCCTGACCTTTTTTATGTTGATATCTTATTGTTAAACTGTATTCAAATTTTTGCGCTTCAAGGTTTATCCTAAGACCTTTCAAACGTCATGAAAAGTTCAAGCCAAAACTATGAGTTCAAGTCAAAACAAAAGTTCAAGGACATATTCGATAAGAAAATGTCGAGGGAGTGGTAATATTTTGGCAACGTGTTTTTGTGATCTAATCCTATGACTTTGGTCTTGCCCTTTTAGTTACCAAAAATTGGTCATTGGCATTCCCATTTGAGGATTTGCAAAGAGCAAAATACATTTTACCATGTTCATTTAGGGACAATACGCTATTTGCTTCTTCCTCAGTATGCGTCAATTCATCTTCAGTTTCTTTCTCCGTAATTTGAAGACAGCCAAACTTGTTGAATGAAGTATTATTTTTTTTTTGAAAATTTTTCAAAGTCCCTTGTAGAATTTATGTGTTGATGCTCAGCAATTTCTTTTCATTTCCTTCCAATTTTCATGAATTATAAGCTTGACATTCCAGACTAGGGGGGTTAAGGGTCATCAATAGAATTTACCGACGAAGAAATAGATGGAGAAGAATTTAGGTGCTATTTCACTTACTGTTAAATGATTTTACCGACAAACTAAGGATTTACCGATGAATACATATTATAAACAAATCGAAGATTTACCGATGAATTCATGAAGTATTGGGGGGGGGTTACACCCCCCGCTAGCAACGCCCCTGATTATAGTGTTTCTCATCAAAGCTTACCTAAAAAGACGTGGCAAGTGATTCACAGCTCAACTGGCAAAAATCAAACAAAAAGGTCTTATAAAGTATATAGCACATCAAGTCATATCAAAAAATATATTTTTAGATGTTTAGGTAGTTTATTACTTTGTTTTGCAGACTGGACATATACTCTATCTAACTAAGAACGTCAGATTTCGCCAGAAAACAAAGTTTCAGTTGTACAACTTACGTAATCATAGAGTTTTTGTGCGAAAGCCAGCAATGGACTAGGTACAAGTACCTCAGTCTAAATATAGCCTTTGGTGAAGTTTTAAAACTAGGGCTACATTTCACTTTATCTGGCACTTCAGATTACGTCAGGAAACCAAGTTTCAGTTTAGAATAGTTACAAAGTTACAGTGCAAGACCCAATATAGGACTGGGCACAAGAACCATAGTTGAAAAATTGCTTTTGTGAAATTTTTAAAGCTTTTTTGCATCCCATTTCATCCAGCACGTCAAATAATGCCAGAAAAAAGTTTCAGCTTTATAACTTGCAATGTTAAGAAGGTTGTAGTGCTATACCAGAAAGAGGACTGGGTTCCAGTACCCCAGTCCAAAAATAGCTTTTGGGGGCTTTTTTAAGTTTGATATGAACTTCATCTTATTCAGCATATCGGATTGTGTACTTGTACCGAACTTCAGGCTATTATCATAACATGCACAATTCTACTGCTATGCGTCTGCACTATTAGACAGGACATATAGCTTGACAATCTGACATTCAAGCTAATGTTTACTTTCTCAACGGATTCTGGTAGTAGGGAGTTCAGGCTTTCATAATCTGCCAGGTGACTTTTTTGAAAATGCCTGGATGTCACGTGACTGATGACGTCATTTAACGGTAAAATTTCAGACAAAATCATCGTTAGCTCCTCACTGAAGGGTTACTTTTTAACGCAACTTACATATATTGACTCGTCTCATTGCAAGCTTTCAAATGATACATATATTTAAGCAAGATTTGCCGACATAAGTATTTTCATTATGACGTCATAACAAATTTTGCATGACGTCATCAAATATTTTAGTGTCATAAAATGATACGTTAGCATAATTTTGTTTCAATATGACGCTGGCTGTCAGCAAAAGCTTTTCTTCCATTTGTTTTTCAATCAAAATAATTAGTTTTCAGTTCATTTAAATTGAATTTGTGCCAACTGCAATGGCCAAAGTTTACATAAAGAAGTCGTTACTATCTGACGAGTGAGTCACTTCTTCCTCCGAAGTTGCAAAGTCTTGCTCCCACTTTGAACCGGACAATGATTTCTCTGCATCCGCATTTGAATGTTACACTAAATCGGAAGAATGTCTTGGCAATATAGGCTATCCAAGATGTCCTACCGATGTTCTTCTGATGGTGGATTTATATATGGATTTGGCTCCTTGCACATGAAATTAAGAAGAACAGCTTTATCTCCTTGTCACAGTACACCTTCAGGAGTTGCAAGCCTAGAGTTATAGTTTTGATGGGATATGAAAATGCCTTTTCGATAGAGGCAGCCTTGCCAATCACGAAAGCTTGGTGGTCTTCGTTTATTATTGAGACTGCTTCCGCTGTTTTCCTGGATCTTTGTGCCCCAGAATGCAGCTTAAGTTCCTGACTATACTTTCGTTGCCAGCAACAACCTACAATTCGAGCAAAATAGCTCATTTCTTCGAGATATTTCTTCCATGTTAGCGCTAGTGTCATCAGTCCGTGAGAACATTTTGTAAAAACGCCACCAGAAAACGCTAGATGGGGATTTGATGAGACGGCCTGAGTTCGTAGCATCAAACCCAAGGAAACATTCAGTGTTTGGTTCAAGAACATCCATGGATGTGCTAATCCTCCTCATGAGGCTAAAGCAATGGAAGTGGAAACAAAGTCAACGCTAAATATTTAGAAACAGCACACGAGCAAGCAAACGGCAAAAGAGAGTCATCAAGGCAAATGCGTATAAAAAGTGGAGAGCAAAAGATACTCCAAAGTAAGAGGAGTATTTTTACATTGATGAAAAAAAGAGAATCTTATGAGACTTGCTCCCGAATTCTTTCGAAGCGCTGAGGGTCACAGGCCCCTGACAATTCAATTTATCGTAGCTTAAGGAGGAAAAGCATTGGAGACTTCAAAAAGCAAGTAGAAGTCCCTCCAAGATGTAACCACAAAAAGATACTGATTTATGTGTGCTGCTTGTTCATGCAACACAGAAGTGCAAACCCACAAATTAGTGGTTTATGTGCATAAATAACAAACAAATCGTCAAGATTTGAGGCATCGCTGAAACTTTTGGTTTCTAAAATTTGCTGTATTTTATCACAGATTAATGGAATTGTGGGCTGAGACAACTGCATTTATATAAGCACAACATTGATAAGGTTACTGTGAAAAAAGCTAACGAAGAACCAGAAACAAGTCATCATTACAAGTCTCTCCGAAGGAGTTATCGCAAAAGCAAAGACATTCGCGAAACAGCAGAATATAGTGGAACAACATATAGAAGCTATTTAGGGACAAAGATATTTATCAAATCTGAAAAAAATCATCTGCAGCAGTTCCAGCAGATCTAAAATCACTCAATCAGAAAATAATTAAATTGTATCAACTTAACAAGGTTATTCTGGCTACACTGTTTAGGTGCAACTACTACAAGACATGTCCCAAAAGCCTGCTGTTGAAATTTGGACGACATACTCGACCGTTTAAAGTCTAAATGGTTCACAGGAAAGCAGCTTCCTCATCTCCGAGAGCTTTCTTTATATCACAAGAATATGAAGGTGACGCAGGAGATGAATTTACCCATGAAGAAAATCATACACTTTCATACCCAGCGCTAAAGACCTATAGTGCGAAGACATCTTGGACAGCCTATAATAGTGCGAAGATATTTTCCGACTTAGCAACAGTCAAATGCAGAAAGTAAACATTAGCTTGAATGTCAGATTGTCAAGTTATATGTCCTGTCTATATCAGGAAACTCGAAAAAGCAAGTTGTTTGACAAAACGAAAAGTTTCCACAGCCATAACTTCTTGTTTATAGGTCAGATCACATTGCTCTTTTTAAATCTTTTGCTCAGTTTTGCATCTTCTTTCCGATAGTATCATCAGATTTGAAAAATTCGAAAGCTGAAATTTTTCTGACCGTGCATTTTTCATGCTTCCGGAAACGCAACTTCCGGT